CCCAGTCCCATTCTCGTACTCCCCCACCCCTACCGTAGCGCAGTACCCCCCCTCACAGCCCTACCCGATAGCCTAAACACCCACCCCCACAGCCCGCGCACACCACTTTGATACTATGTCCCTCCGTGAACCCACTTGGTATATGGACCCCGGTGCATCCCATCATATCGCCTCTGACCCGGGTACTCCTTCTCATGTTAATTCTCAATCTTTATATTCCCCACTATATAGCACTGTTGGTATTGGATCTAAAGTTAGCACTACGTCTCTTGGTAGCCATACCTTCCCCACCACCCCATCCATGTCCCTTAATAATATTCTTATTTCCCCTCACATCACTCACAACCTTATGTCTGTTCGTCAACTCACCCGCGATAATAATTGTACTGTTGAATTTGATGCTCATGGTTTTTGTGTGAAGGACTATCGGACAGGCACCGTGATGCATCGATCCAATGATATGGGACCCCTCTACCCCCTAGGACGCCCAACCTTTGCTCAAGCCAATGTCGCCACTGTCGATCTTCAGACCTAGCACCGGTGTCTAGGCCACCCCAACCAAACCGTTCTCAATGGAAGCTCTTCTCTTCCTTTTTAAAAAGTTATCAACATTCTTTATGTCCTGCATGTCAATTGGGAAAGCATGTGCGCCTCCCATTTTATTCTTCTAGCCGTGTTTCAATGTTTTTGTTTCAACGTTTGCATACAGACTTATGGCAATCCCCTTTTCAAGTATTATTGGTTTTAAATTTTATATGTTACTGTTGGATGATTTCTCTCATTATCTATGGGTTTTTCCTTTAACGCATAAAAGTGATGCTTTTATTTATTTAACCTCTATTGTGGCTTATGTAAAAAATCACTTTAACAAAACCATCATAGCAGTACAATGTGACAATGAAACATAATATCGTAATTCTCCACTTAAAAATATTTTTGACTCCTTAGGCATCCTCTTCCACTTCTCGTGTCCTCACACTAGTCAAAAAAACAGACGGGCTGAGCGCACCATTCTCACCATCAACAACACCGTCCGCTCCCTCCTCTTTCAAGCCCAACTATCACCCACTTTCTGGGTTGAGGCCCTTCACATGACAACCCACATCTTTAACATCCTTCCCACCACCACCACTTTACACACAACAACACCCCACACGCCACTTTCTTCAGACTACGTCAAAAACAAAGGCTGACAACTATTTATTTTAGTAGTCTATAAATGATGTTTTCAGTAGTCTTCCGAGCAGCTGTGTGATGGGATGCTATACCTCGGTTTAGAACAATTGTGCAAATCCAAATCTGACACCGGTGTTTTGTTGCTTAACACAACTTTGAATATTTGTTATCTGCTCGTGATTGAGTCTACGATTTTGGATATACTCAGACAATAGTTTTATTGTGTTGTATATAGAATTTCAGACAACTACTTAAAAACAACTATCTTAATTAATTGTATATGGACTATTACGACAATGGTTTATTGTAGTTGGGATTGATGCGGTGACACTATGTTTTCTAGGTGTAGTCTAATGTTCTTCTAGACAGCTGCTCGGAAGACCACTATAAGTAATTCCATCAAACCTTTGCTACCTTCTGTTGTATGTACAATGTTGAGACTATTACTTTGGTCTTACCTTAAACAACTTTTTTGTTTGGTTGTATGCCTTCTATTAACACTCCAGTTTTTGTTCGTTGTCCTTTAAACATTGACACTATACTTCCAAACAGTAGTTGAATCTGCTACCAGACAGCTGCTCGGAAGACCACTATAAGTATTTGCTTCAAACAACTATTACGTTGGGTTGTATGTATAATGTTCAGACTATTATTTTGGTCTTATCTTAAACAACTATTTGTTTTAGTTGTACGACATCTATAAACAATACTATTTTGGGTCGTTGTCGTACCACCCATTCAAACAATATTTTGGGAGAGTAGTCGAAATTGTTATCAGACAGCTGCTTCTAACACCACTGAAAACATTTGCATTAGAGAACTGTTCTTTTTTGTGGTATATCTAAAACTAAAAATACGATTATGTTTCATTTCAAACAATTGAAAGTACCAGATGTCTAGCAGCTATTACCTCTACTAGTTTATATAGTTGTCCGTAAAATATTTGTAATATCAAATTAACAGTAGTAAGGCTGCTTGTCAGTCAAGCGTTTATTTGTGTTGCCTATCATAATCAGATGTTTCTGTTTTATGGCGTTGTGTTGCAGATATTCAAACTATTGTCATTTGGTGTTGTGCCTCAACCATTCGGAGTACTGTATTTGGTGGATAACCATGTTTTTTGCATTCTAATACAGTGATCGTTCAATAATTCATACAACAGAAAGACTGATCAAGAAAGACTGATCAGATAAGAAATATAAATTCCCAATACATGATTCAACAATCTAACAAAGTAAAACATACAACCAATTAAAGTCCAGGGGTAGAACCATTCAAATGGCATTATGACTCATAAAATATTTCGCAAATTCAACCTTTGTTTGATTGATGTCATCCTTGGTGTATTCCAGATTTCCCCGACGTGCCCACTGAAAATCGTAGAAAAAAACCAAATATCTAATAAGCCAATCATATAAGTGAAGTAAATTCCAAAAATATAGGATGCAACACATAAGAACTGATTTGTATGAAGTACATTATTCGTGATGACCAACACTAAAGAACTGACCAATATATATTTAATACTCAAACCTTCACTTGCATTTAGTACACATTATTAGTGAACTAGAAGAGGCTCTACTTAATGTTAAAGTCTCTTCTGATTACAAACACCAGAACTGTACACAAGACATGGCTTGTCATGCCCTTTTAATGTATTCTATAGGGGGATAGTCTTTACCTTTTACCCACAAAAACAAATATGATGCAGCAACCATTCTTTATTTTAAGCAATTTGAGTATTAAAAAATAGAAGAAGAGCATCATTTTGCATATATTATTACTTGCGCAAATAAATAGCTGATATGCTGCATCATATTTAAATATAAAACAAAGGAAAAAAAGATTTTATGAAATTCAAAACCCTCCAGCTTCACAAAATAAAAATACTCTGTACAGCGCTATCTAAGCTTCAACTTAAATATGTGTAAAGAGCATGTAGCAGAACTTGCATTTATCCAGAAATTCAAAATAAAAAACACACTCCTAAATGATACACGGATGCAAAGAAGCACTTAATAGAGAACACTCATAAAAGCGACATGCAAATCAAACTTTGCAATTCAGTAATGGTATGATAACATACAATACAGTAAATATCCCCAGAATAAGAGAAAGGCCCAGTTAGTGTGAAGCATCCGAAACAAGAAAAACTACATTTAAGACAAAAATATTACCTTTGAAGCAAATTGAACCTCCTTATCCTGACAGATCTCTTTCATGTATTGCATTACAAACAAGCCACAATCTACATTCCCTTTTTGCATCGGGATGCCCAAAAAAAAAAAAAATATAAAGTACGTTATACAACACTTCTCATTCAACCTGCATTACATACCAAATAATAAGAATCATATAATACCGCCATGTTCTCCCAGGACACTTTCTTCTTCAACATATGTGTGTTCATGGTATTCTTGTACAAAACTATAGCACTATTGTTAGAATAAGAGACTAACGCTAGAGGGGGGGTGAATAGCGTTTGTTCAAAAATCGCAGGAATAAAAAATGAATAAATGAGAAGTAAAGAAAAGAGTAAGAGGCACACCGATTTTACCCCGGTTCACCACAACTTGTGGCTAATCCAGCCTCCCGAGAGACTCTCTCGAGCTACACTACTACCTCGTTAAGCTTAACGGTGCTTAACAAACTCGTACAACTTGAGAATTCGAGTCACACGAACCTCAACAAACCTTCGAAGGAAACAACCCTTCCTTCGAACAACAAGAGAAATACCTTCTCTTGTCAAGTGTTTAAGAACACTAAAAACACTCAAGAACAATACTCTCTTTTAGAGTGAATAATGAGTAAACTAAGAACGCTCAAGAACACAACACAAGCTTCACAAAAAATGGCTCTCAAAAGCTATGAATAATTGAAGAATGATTTGCAATGAAAGAGTAGGAGTTGTGAAGTAATGTGATGTGTAAAACAGACCCAAACACCCCATTTTATAGTAGAAAAATAGGCTCCAACGGACCAAAGTATTTAAGGGGTGATTGGCACAATTTGTGGGATTTAATGAAAATTGGATCTGTTGAAATTCACCCAGACAGCGCTGTCCTAGGATTGGACATCGCTGTTCTAGGCTTGTGTTTTGAAAAATGGGAAGCAACGGTCATGCCAACAGCGATGTCTAAAGTCCCTACATCGCTGTTTTGGCTGTTGACTTCCAAACAAGGAAAGTTTTAGCCTTAAATTCCTTCCAACGGTCAGGTCTTTACATCGTTGTTCAATACTTGAACATCGCTGTTTAGGTCTGACTTTGAAGGTGGAGTTTTGGCCTGACAGCGCTGTTGCTGGGTCAACATCGCTGTCCTAAAACTTTCTGCCAATGCACTATCTTTTTGGCTTAGGTTGGACAGCGTTGTAGGGAGGCCGACTCAGTTCATGAATGACTCAGCCAACCTACAAGCCATCCAGGGCTTTGGCCAGGTCATGGCCATGTGCCAACAGAGCGGGGGTATGCCTTTTCTCCTTGGTATGTTCCCGTTCGCTCTTCCAGGCGCGGGAACCATGCCCCTACAAGCTCCGATGGCGGTGACGTCGTTCCAGACGCCGATGCCGCAGCCATCACCTTTCCAGCCCTAGCTGGTCAGCACCATGGCCCCTGTCAACTTGACTGGCGCACTTAACGCTGCAGGGCCGTCGCGTCCCCCGCAAGGTACGAATCCGCAGATCACTCCTGATGGTCATTGCGTCTCAATTGAGAGCGATGACGGCGAGTGGGACATTCCGAGGGCCCACAAGAAGAAGAAAGGGAAAAACATCTGGCCAGCGACCTCCCGAAACTCCGCCTTCGAAAGGCTGGGGGATAGGGAGGAAGGCCAGAGGAAGTCAGCCAAGCAAAGGCTGGGGCAGAGCGTTGCCTATGTCAGCGCGTTCGCCCGGCTAGGCGAGGTGCGGGAGGCCGAGCCTGCCCGCACCTGGCGCTCCCGGTCTAACCAGCAGGATCCAGCGAGGACGAGGGCCTCTCGTCAGGAAGAGGAAGCAGAGAGCCAGCCCAGGTTACCGGTGGCGAACCGGTTGACCATCCCAAATGACCGCGTCCAGCAGATGGAGGCAAAACTAGAGAGGCTGGAGAAGAAGGTCGGAGAGAAGAATGACCGGGACAAACCCCTGGCAGGGTCCCCGTTCACCACAAGGGTCCATCTCACACCTTTCCCGCGAAAGGTCAAGATCGACGCCCCTAGATTCACCGGGAAGGAAGATCCGGAAATCCATCTGGACTCCTTCAACCAGAGTGCGACCATAAACGGTTGCACCGACGAAGAAAAGTGCCTTCTTTTCTTCCAGACCTTGCGTAACCGAGTCACTGAATGGTTCAATAAGCTTTGCTCGGGAAGCATTGATTCGTTCAGTGATTTGGCCTCAAAATTCAAGGCCAAGTTCCAGGAGAATTGTACTAAGAGGAAGAAGTTCACTTATCTTAGTACAGCCGGGCAGAGGGAGTCTGAGAACCTTACTCAGTTCCTTACCCGGTGGAAGGAAGAGGTGGACAAGGTGGAAGAGATGGATGACAAAACCATCCTATCCCTCCTCTTGAATGGCTTGCGTGCTAGGGAACTATACAAGGAGTTCTGTCGGAAACCCCCAGCCACGTACCAAGAGGCCTACCACACTGCATGGGAGTTTGCTGAGGCTGAAACCCAGCTCCGGGCAAAGAGAGAAGCTGAGCATGGTAACAAGCCCAAGCCGGTGCAAGCCAAGAAGGAGGAAGTCCCGGGACCTAGCCGACCAAGGCACCACTATGACCCGGTTGTCCATGTGGTCAATACGGGGGAATGCCAAGAAGTCCGGAAAGCACCGGTCATTCTTCCGGAAAACCCTACCGGTCAAACAGGGCGGCAGTGGTCGGGCACCTATTGTTCGTACCACAGATCGGATTCTCATAACACCTCCGAATGTAAGAGTGTTAAGGGAGTAATCCGGCAGATAATAGAAAGTGGAGAGCTGGGCAAGGATTACCTGCAGAAAGCCCAGGAGAAGAGTCATCAGTGGGTTAAGCCAGCTGCCCCGGGAGATGACCGGGACAGCGACTGGCGAAGGAATATCCGGCCAAGGGAACGGCAACCTGCTCCCGAAAAAGAGCACATCGGCATGATCTTCGGCGGACCTGAGGGTGGAGATTCAGCCGCGCAGCGGAAGAACTGGGTCCGGAGCATTTACGATGGTGAGGTAAGTGCTGAACCGCCCAGGCGTAAACATACTAGAAGGGAGCCGATCGTCTTTACCGACCGGGATCTCCCTCCTACCGGTGAAGATCACAATGATCCATTGGTCATCACCATGGACATTAATGGGGTGGATGTCGCCCGGGTACTTGTTGATACCGGAAGCAGTGTCAACATCTTATACCTGGAGACTTTCCAAAAACTCAGGCTGTGTCGGACACAACTTGAACCCCTCAAAACCCCTCTCTCAGGCTTCACGGGAGACACCGTTGAAGCCGAAGGATCCATAGTTCTACCGGTCGAACTAGGATCGGGTGAAAAAACCGTATGGAAGAAGATGCGGTTCATAGTTGTGGACATCAAGTGCGTCCACAACGCAATTCTTGGAAGGCCAGGCATCAATAAGATCGGGGCGGTGATTTCCATGCCTCACCTGTGCATGAAGTTCCACACTCCAGGCGGTGTGAGTGAAGTGAAGGGCGACCAGAGGAACGCCCGGGAGTGCTATGCCCGGGCAGTCAAGAAGATGACCAAGGGGGTCAATGTCATCTCCCAAGAGATCACAAAGGGGGAGACCCAGGAGAAATTGGAGCCCAAGGCCGAGACGGTGGAAATCGAACTTCACTCGGGTGATTCTTCGAGGATGGTCAGAGTTGGAGCAAATCTCCCTGAAGATCTCATGGAAGAGATTACACAGGTCCTTCAAGAATACGCGGGCATATTCGCATGGATCGTGGCGGATATGCCCGGAATAGATCGCTCTGTTATCTGCCACCAGTTGGCCGTGAGAGAGGGAAGTCGACTGGTACACCAGAAGAAGCGGTACCTGGCCAGTGACCGGCGAGATTTCGTCAAGAAGGAAGTGAAAGACCTCCTCAGTGTTGGTCACATCCGGGAAGTCAAGTACCCGGATTGGCTGGCCAACGTTGTCCTTGCTCCCAAGGGCGACACGTGGAGAATGTGTGTGGATTATACGAACATGAACAAAGCTTGTCCGATGGACTCATATTCCCTTCCCAGTCCAGATCAAATGGTGGACGAAACTACGGGGTGCGAACTCCTAAGTTTCATGGATGCCTTCAAGGGTTACCACCAAATCTACATGGCCAAGGAAGATGAAGAGAAGACGTCATTCCTCACACCCGAAGGAACCTACTGTTACCGGGTAATGGCGTTTGGCTTGAAGAACTCGGGGGCAACCTACCAGCGCATGGTGAACAAACTCTTCAAGCCACTACTGGAAAGACCATGGAAGCATACGTCGACGACATGCTGATCAAAATCCAGGTATCTCTCAATCATCCGGCTGATATGCGAGCCACGTTCGATATCATGGCAAAATACAACCTCCGGTTGAATCCTAAGAAATGCGTCTTCGCGGTTCATACCGGAAAGTTCTTGGGATTCATGGTAACCAAGAGAGGTATAGAGCCCAACCCAGAGAAAATCCGGGCCATCACTGAAATGCAAGCCCCTACCTCCGTTAGGGATGTTCAAAAGTTGACCGGTCGCCTAGCGGCCCTCAGCCGGTTCCTTTCCCGGTCAGCTGAGAGATCCCTCCCCTTCTTCAAAGTTCTGAAGAAGGCCAACACATTTGCATGCGACGAAGAATGCCGGAGGGCATTTGAGGAGCTGAAAGAGTACCTAGCGTCGGATATTGTATTGTCTAAACCCAAACCGGGTGAAACTCTGTATCTGTACCTGGGAATTTCCCCAAATGTTGTAAGCTCCGTTTTAATAAGAGATGATGGGGCACAAAAGCCCGTTTACTATGTGAGCAAAGCACTAAACGGGGCTGAGAGTAGATATACGGCGATGGAAAAGACAGCCTATGCGCTTTTCATCTCCGCAAAAAAATTAACATCCTACTTCCAAGCTCACCTGGTAGAAGTCTTGACTGACCAACCGCTGGGTGCAGTGTTGCGAAATTCAACATCCTCCGGGAGGATGGTGAAGTGGGCAATGATGTTAACTCAATTCAACATTGAGTACCGGCCAAGGTCAGCAATCAAGGGACAAGCCCTTGTTGACTTCTTGGTAGAAATGACCGGTCTAGCTCCAGACCTATCGGTCAACAAGCCCATTGAGCAATGGTGGGAGATGGCAGTTGATGGGGCATTCGGTCCTAGAGGATACGGGGGTGGTATCGTGTTCACCACCCTAGAAGGGTTCAAGATCTACCATGCAATCGTCTTCAACTTCAAGCTGACAAACAATGAGGCAGAATATGAAGCTCTGGCTGGAGGGCTCAGACTTGCCCAAGCCCTGAAAATCAGCCGGGTCAGTATCAAATCTGACTCTAGCCTGATCGTTGGGCAAGTGACCGGTAACATGGAGGCAAGGGAAGAACGCATGGCACAATACAAGGACCTTGTACTTGCCCTGTTCAAAGGCTTCGAAGAGTTCAAGATCGCCCAAATTCCCCAGGCAGAAAACGCGGATGCAGACCTTCTCTCCAAATTGACGCAGTATGCTCCCGAGCATGTTTCAAAACTTGCCCGGGTAGAGATCCTTGACCGTGCAAACATCGAAAAATTGGAAGTAGCCGCTATAACGGCCGGAAGCCAATCTGACCGGTCAAACTTGGTCGGGGCGGACGACCATTGGATGTATGATCTGATGGAATATTTGATGGATGGGAGCTTGCCAGAACAAGATGACCGGGCAAGAAAAGTGAAGCTCAGGGCACCCCGATTCCAGGTTCTTGATGGAAAACTGTATAAAAGGGCATTTGGGGGGCCACTCCTGAGATGTCTAACCAACCGGGAGGCTAAGCGAGTCATAGTAGAGGTACACGAAGGCGTATGCGCGGCGCATCAAATGTCTCGTACGCTCTCCCAGCGCATCATCTTATTGGGGTATTACTGGCCAACAATTGTCCAGGATTGTGAAAAGGTATGTACAGAAATGCAGAACATGCCAAGTGTTCTACAAGTACCCCAGTAGACCGGCGACCTACTATCACCCCGTATCGAATGTCATCCCATTCGCTAGATTCGGGGTTGATATCATTGGAGCCTTCCCAGTTGCCCAAGGAGGGAAGAAGTTCGTAATCGTAGCCATCGATTACTTCACCAAATGGATCGAGGCCGAGGCATTGGCCAACATCACCACGCAGCAGTGCAAGAAATTCATTTGGAAGAACATCATCACGAGGTTTGGAGCGCCCATGAACCTCATCACCGACAACGGCCCACAATTCCGAAATCCGAGGTTCACCGAATACTTGGAGGGCTTCGGAATCAAGCACAATCGTTCCTCGGTAGCGTACCCCCAAGGGAATGGCCAAGTCGAAAACGCCAACCGAACGATTGTAGATGGTCTAAAGAAACGGCTGGGAGAAGCAGGAAACAAGTGGCTGGAAAAGCTCCCACACATCGTATGGGCATTTCGAGTAACACCCAGGAGGGCTCATGGGGAAACTCCATTCTCCCTAACCTATGGGTGTGAAGCAAGGCTGCCCATCGAAGCTGAATTCCCAACGTTCCGTGAATCAAATTATCAACCCCAACAAAATGAAGAAGACCACTTGGCCGAGCTCAACTTGGTCGAAGAACGAAGAATGGCCGCGGAGGTTAAAATGAGTACATACCAACAAGTTGTGAAGAAGTACCATGACAACAAGGTTGGGCCGCGGTACTTCCAAGTTGGAGATGAAGTCCTACGAAGAAGAGAAGCAAGTAGACCCGACGATGGAGGAAAGCTGGCAAAAAACTGGGAAGGCCCATACAGGGTTAGAGCCGTCATTCGACCAGGAACATACCGGTTAGAAACTTTAGATGGTGTACTGATAGAAAGAACTTGGAATTCCCACCATCTTCGCAAGTTCTACAAATGATTGTAATACTAGGCGAGGCCTAACTACATTATCAATCAAAGTGATGTTCAATACTCTACTTGGTAGCGGCAGAATTGATAGGTCGAACCTATCCTAGGAGGGCTTCCTGGGTGGATCGAATCCACTTGGATAAGCCAACTGAGACATAGGCCCGGACCTGGCACGCTGGTTACTACACCGGTCTTGCTCAGTATAATAGAAAAAAATATTAAAACCTGGAAGAGGGTATGCCTGCAAGAGGGCTGGACTTGGAAGAGGGTTCGAACCGTACTTACACGGGCCCATGAAGTTTGACTGGTGTTGGGGAATCAGCCGGCGCCGTCAAATTGATTGGGGACTAAAAGATGCCCATTAAAAGAAATAGAAGGGGATCGTCCACCGTGGCGCATCCTGTTTCCCCCTTCTCAGGGAAGACTTGAACGGGGGGGTGAGCTAAGGCCTTCCAAGGATGGTAGAAATCAAAGGGCCATTAAAAGACTTAATCACCCGAAAGAGGGGGCCCTGGAAGAAGAGTGCATTTGAACCTTGGAGAGGGTTTGAAACCATTCGACATGGTTAAATCTCCAGTATTCTTACCGGTTAAGGATACTTCAAGAATTACTAAGTTACGGGTGCTTCCATCTACAACCTACCGGTCAAAAAAAAAAGAATACCCCGGTTGGGTATGGGCACAACGGAACTTCGAAAGTTCCTCAAGGCAAAGTTGTTGACCGGTCGGACCACAAAGGGCGTTCCTACCGGTCAAACTGTACTTTATCGAAGAAATTCACTGGAAAAATGAAGGCATCCAAAAGCCAAAGTAAAGTTCAGCCGGTCGAATTTTTTCAAATTGACCGGCGGAGATGAAGACATCCAAAAGTAAAAGTTGGAGTCCAACTGGTCTATTTCGATTACAAGAAAGTCTAACCGGTCAGAGTTTTTACGAAGACATTGTAAGGAGCAAAAATGAAAACGTCAACCAGGAAGCAAGCTCAACCGGGTAGAAAAACAAACATGGCATTTAAATTTGGAAATGTCAAATGTTTACAAGTACGCCGGGCATACCCGGGGAAATTTCTGCTAAAAGTTTTACAAAAATAACCGGGCGCAGCCGGGGAGATTAGTCAAGGGGGAAGGGGAGAGTCGGCTCTTCTTCCGGGATTGAGGCCAGGCCGTAGGATGCAGCGGTAAAGTCCGGATCTCTTCATCAGCTTGGCTCTTCAGGATGAGAGCCATCTTCTCCTTCTCCTTCTTCAGCCGGGCAAACTCCGAAGAAGAGCCCAAACCAAGCCGGTCAGCTGTGAGGGGTCCGATCTCCCCCGCTTGCGCAAAAGGAAAAATAGCCCGGTAAGAGTTTCGAACAGTTTAAGGAGATCAAGACCGGGATAGTAGCAGAACTTACTTCCTTTAGCCTCAGCCCAAGATTGATGAAGGCCTCCTCGACGGTCTGGCCGGCCGGCTCAGAATCCGACCTTGCCCTCTTCTTGGCGTAAGAGGGGTGCGTGGTGGCCACCTTATTGGTCTGACGACCGGTTTTCTCTTTCTCCTTCCCCTTGGACCGGTTATCTTGGGGTTCGTCCTCATCCAAAATCTCCACGGTCTCCTGGTGGACCGGGAAGGTTTTGGCAGGGTTGGCTTGGGAGCCCCCGGTCTCTCCCGCTGGTTGGTCGTCGGGGATGGCGAACTCTTCGAACTCCATATCTGCAAAAGTAGCTAAAACCATTAAGTACAAGCAATGGTACCGGTCAAAGTGCAAATCACAAGAAGAGTGAAAAGTACCTGGGTGGTTCTGGCCCTCAGCCTCTACAGTGCTGCCTGGGGAGGGTACCCCGCGCCCCGCTGCTTCATGGGCCTAGGAAGTACCCTCACCACCCGACTCGACCCTCCAAACCCAGCTGCCGTAGTGGAAGACCCTCCCGGTGTATGGATCGCCGCGCATAAGGACTTCAAGACTTGGTTCCAAGTCAGGGGAGGAAGCCGGTGCAGCGTACTCTTGGTCGAGGAGGTGGTCGTTCCATTTTAGACCGGCGAAAGGGGTGACGAAGGGGGGAAACTCAATGAAAACAAATTTTTCCTTCCATCCCCTGTTACTCTGGGGGACTTCGGAAATGAACTTCCTACCGGTACGGGCTTTGAAGAATACAAAACCTTCGCAGCCAGTCCCGCCCGGTAGGACTTCAAAGCAAAAAAGGAAAAGACGCAAAGAGGGGAGATTTTCAGATGAGTACAGATATTTACAAAGGAATGGAGATACCGGTGGGCATTAGGTGTTATTTGGCCGGGCAAAATCCTAAACGCATGGCAGACTTCGGTAAGGAGGGGGCGAATGGGAAAAACGATGCCCGCATCCAGTGATATGGTGTGGAACCATATCCTATCCTCCCGGTGGGGTTCAACAATGTTGGGCCAGTTAGGTTCGTACAAGAGGGTATACCCATCCGGGAGTCTCCTACAAATTTTATTCAAGGCAATTTTGGATACATGGGAAGGGATGTCAAGGACGTAGAAGGTGGGGAGCGGAAAGTAACCGGCAGCATGAAGTCGCTCCTCCCACGCATCCCGAGTTTCGTTTTCAGGGTCATAGGGACCCGTTTCGTCATCAAACGGGTCATCCCTCCCCATGAAAACTTCACCGGGCATCTGATTAACGGGTTGCAGGTCGGGGACAGGGGAGTTAGGAGTCTGACCGGGCATGGAGTCAGGAGAAGAAGACCCGGTCGAGGAAGAGGAGTTGGAGTCCTCAGAGGAGCAGTCCTCTGAGGAAGTGATCCTATCGCTGAAAGAAGACATGACCGGGAAAGTAGAGAAGGAAGGGAAAACTTACTTGGCTCGGAGGGCTGGATAGCGAGAGAGAGGAACTTGACCGGTGAAAGCTCTGGAAGGCGAAGTGCTAAAAGTGAGAAGTGAAGGGGGTTAGAGGCCTTTATATAGGAGGGAGGAAGCCAAATCAGACGACGTGGCCTCCTCAGGATGCGCCGCGTCAGGCGGCGCAATGATGACCCACTGGCAGGTGAAACGACGGGTGGGCCGCCGACCGTTGCAGCGACGTGTGTCCAACACGTGTCAAAGCTCTGAGTTCAAATTCAAATTTTGAGATTTTTCGAGTGGGAAAAAGCCTGAAATTCGAATTTGAGGTCCTGTTTTAGACTTTTTACTTCCCGCTCATGGCAAATTGCATGACCGAGAAGTGGAGGGCTTACTGATGGGTGTATTCCACCCACGACCGGTCAAAGGAGGAGACCAATTAGTTGGCCGGTCAATCTCGAAAGTTTTGGGAGGGAAACTTAAATCGTCAGCAAATCGATATGTAATCGGCCAAAAGATGACCGGTATACTTCACGAAAAAAGTACACCGGTCAAACTACTTGGTCACCCTATTTTCCCCTAACTTCGATGATCTCATCCCACGGAGATTACCCGGTGTAGTTTCTAGGGTTGGAAAGTGTCGGCAGAAGAGAATCTAAGAGGGCTTGGCGTGTAGCGACCCATGTCAGTAGAGGACAACTGGAGATGCTGAAGAATCCATCCAAGGCACTACTCGACAAAGGGAATGATCCCCCTCACAAGGCGACAAGGCAGCTCGAGGACGAAACCAGTCACCTCGCACCACATCAGCAGCATGCCCCCACGTGGGCGCACATGGTCTTGTCCCCCATAGCCTAGTATAAATACTCATGTAAACCTCAGAAAGAGGGATCCGAATGCATTCTCTCTAAACTCCCTTGAAAAAGCACCCGTGCATTCTCCGTTATAATATAGATTGGGCTACAGGTGTTCCACCTAAAGTCCTACCGGTCAATCTGCGTGTTTTTACCTTTCTTACTTTGCCAAATCAAGCAAACTATTCTAGACCCGGTCTAGTATAGTTTGACCGGTCAAGTAATTTACACCATCAATTTTAAAATTACTTTACATATGAATTAGTATAAACACAAAAAATGCAAATAACATACTCCTTTAGTCCCAAAAAAATGTCACAATTCACTATTCAAAAATCACATTAACTTTTATTTATTTGTGTGTTTTTCATTGACTATTTGATAAAGATACCATTATCACCACTTATTTTAAAGAACATTTCACATAATTTCTAAATATAAATATTTCATTTTTTATTTCGATATCAATCCTTAAATAAAATGAGCTGAGAAAAAAATTAAAATTTTGCTTTGTTTTGTGTAATGTGGCAAACATTTTGGAATAGAGGAGTATTTCAAAGGAAAATTTACGTATATACTACTAAAACACAATGAGTTTCCTAATGTAGTTGCCATATACTTGTATTTTTATTTTTCAATATAGTATCATTGTTCAATGTCTACTGACATTGTTTAAGTAAATGTCCACTGCCACTGGGCATTGTTTCCACCACTGGACATTATTCAAGTACTTTTAATGGAATAAAAAATTTTAGGTACTACATTGAAAAAAGATATACTCCCTTCGTCCCTAATTGCAGAAGAGTGGACAAAGAGTGAAACTTGCACCTGGTACTTACAGAAGTCATATGCTTAGTGTAGCTGTATCCTAATGCAATTGTTAAAAGTCGAACTCAAATCTTATTCCTTAACACTTCTTACCCTTACTAACTGTGCAACTTCCACCGACAAGTTTTTTATTTTGGAAGGAGAGAGAGAGGATATATCCAAGGATATGATGATTGATGATAAGGGTTGTTTAAAATTCCCGTGAGTGAGCTGTGAGCCTATCTCAAACGGTCAATAAATCGCATGTGAACCCATTTTAAAAAAGTTTACTGTTTTCAGCATGATTTTCTTTGGATTTGAAATTTCAACAACAATCTGTTTTCTTTTACTCCTTTAGGCTTTAACAACACACTAATTTCATCCTTTTATACTTAAGTTCTCATTATCAAAGTTCTCAACTTTTAAAAATAAATTAGGCTTTAACCAAACACATAACTCATCAAAGTTCTCAACTTTTAAAAATAAATTATATTGTTACAATTAATTTTCTCCCTTTTTCTTAGATTTTAATTAATCACATAAATTTATTTTTTGTTAAATATGAAACTAGTAATATACGGAGTATATATATATTACTCCGTAGTCGGTAAAAAGTAAACTGATTCTATTACGGAGTAGAATATTTTGCTCGTCCATTTATAAATCCATCTGAAATTAGGTATATTCACTCCTTTTTGTGTTTTACCTTTACACTATTTTGGCTCAAAGAATATGAGAAGGAAAGAAAAAGAAAATGAGAAGGAAAAACATTTTTCTTGTTTGGTTAGAGAGAAAAATAGAAGAGAATTGGAAGGATAAAAAATAACAAGGCAAAATACACAAAGAGAAAAAAAACCAAATTCCTTCCATTTTAACGGCAAAAAATTGGAGAAAATTATTTTCTTTTTTTCCTTCCAAATTCCTTGAACCAAACATAGTGTTAGTGTTTGATTTGGGAAAAGAAAGAAGTGAAATGGCAAAAGTGTTCATTTCTTAAAAAATGTAGTGAATTTAGCAAATTAGAGTATGAATTTAAACTAGGCATTTTTAAAATGATGTAGGTTAGGGTAACACATTGGAATGCTACTCAAAAGAAATAAACCTAAAATGAAAATACAAAAAATATTGATTTTGCTGAATTTGTCATTTATTTTAGCATATAAATTCAACTTTTTAAAAATAAAGAAATTGAACATAATCATCACCAATTATGAATGCTTGGACAACTATAATATCAATAATAAAAGAGATGTTGAGAAAAATATTTTTTAAATACATACTTTATCCATCTCTTATAAATTTTCATGTTTACTATTCACTGAATTAAATTTTGACTCCGTTGCGTTTTCCAATTTTCATCATCATTCATTGAATAAAATGATGAAGTATAGTCTGATTATCTCTTTTTGTAAGATTAGTCTTATCATCTTTGATTTTGTAGAGAATTTGATATAATTTTTAAATAAATTTTTTTATATTATTTTTCATCATTTTCATATACATTAAATTTAAATGAGTCCAATCAAGCATCCTAATTCGAAAAATAAAAGTTTTTTTTATGGAGAGTAGATTTAAAGGAGACCTTTATGTGGGGATGATCCCCTTAAATGAGGGGTACCCTTCTCAGATTTTTTAGACCAAAACAATAATTTTTTCCCTCCCATCACTATACCTTCCTGTCTTAGTGATACTGAACAAAGAATAAATCCTCATGCCCCTTTTCACATCTTTTCTTTGCCAAAAATAATCAAACTCTTCCTTCTTCTTCTTCTTCTTTTTCTGTTTTTTTATTAAAAATATTTTTTTTTTGTGTTGAATTTTCATCCTGTAATGAAGATTCTGTTGTGGGTTTTCAAGATCTTTGTTATTTTCACCTTCTTTGTTCAGCTCTCAAGTTCAACTTGTGCAGAGTGGGACAAAATTACCCTTCTGCAATTCAAGGACAGCATAGTGAAGGACACCACTAATCAGTTAGCTTCATGGAAGAATTCCACAGATTGCTGCGGGGGAGGCTGGGATGGGATTCAATGCAACAAGACGAGCGGGCGAGTCACCCGGCTGGCCCTGCAGAATGTGGAGGGTGCCCTTTACATGAAGGGCACCCTGTCCCCAAAACTAGTGCAGTTGGAGTCCTTGGAGATACTGGTCATAACCGGGATGCACCGCATTGAAGGGGAAGTCCCATGGGCCATCTTTCCCAATCTTGCCCATCTGCAGCAGCTTGTCTTGGATGATAATGCTCTTCAGGGTACCATCCCTACAAATTTAGGGCACTTGCCTTCTCTGCAGGTCCTGTCCCTGAAGGGTAACCGTTTGTCCGGGCAGGTTCCGCCTGCCCTGGGTAACCTGAGAACCCTTCAGCAGCTCATCCTGGCCTCAAATTCTTTCTCAGGGCCTCTCCCAATTGCCCCAAGGAATTTCCCCTCTTTACAGTTCATTGATCTGAGCCACAATCTGTTTTCAGGGCCAATCCCGGACTTTCTCGGTCAGCTTCGGAACCTAACATACATTGATCTCTCCAACAATCATCTCTCCGGGCAGCTGCCCGTTTCCTTGAAGAATCTGAAACAGGTTACATTCCTGTCATTCGAGCACAACCGGATAACGGGCGGGATCCCGTCGGAGATTGGGAACATGACCTCCCTCGAGACGCTCTCCTTGGGCTCCAACGGACTGACCGGACGAATCCCGGATTCGATTGCAAACCTACCAGGCCTGTGGAACCTCAGTTTGCCAAAGAACAACCTTTCCAACCCTTTGCCAGTTTCTTTCTCCCAAGGTCTGATATCCATAGACCTGTCCTACAACAACTTCACTCTGGGGAGGAGTGTCCCAGAGTGGGTCACAAACAGGAGACTCTTTACTGTGAGCCTAGCAGGCTGTAAGCTGGAGGGCACCCTTCCAAAATTCACAAACCCTGGCTTCCTGACCTCCATTGACCTATCAGACAATGCCCTCACAGGCGAAGGGCTGTCCTCGTTCTTCGCAAACATGTCCACCCTCCAGAAGGCCAAGATCTCCAGCAACCGGCTGAGCGAAGACATTAGCAAGATCAAGATCCCAGAAACCCTTTCTTTCCTCGATCTCCACGCGAACGACCTGCAAGGAACAATGTCAGGGCTACTCAACAACCAAACCAGCACATTCTTGGAAACCATAGACCTCTCCACGAATCACATTTCTGGGGGGATCCCAGAGTTTGTCTTCACCCCTGGGTTGGGCCTGAAGGTGCTCAACGCCGCGAACAACAACATCACCGGGTCAATCCCAGACACGATTTCGAACTTGGAGGGCTTGGTTAGGCTGGACCTGAGGAGGAACGGCGTGTCTGGCGCGATCCCTGAAGGGCTGGGGAAGCTGGGGAAGCTGGAGTGGCTGGACCTGTCCATCAATGGGCTCACTGGGAGGATCCCTGAGAGCCTGCTTGGGATCAAGAGGCTGAGCCACGCGAATTTCAGGGCGAACAGACTGTGTGGGCAGATCCCACAGGGGAAGCCGTTTGACATTTTCCCACCTGCAGCTTATGCTCACAACTTGTGTCTGTGTGGGAAGCCATTGCCAGCTTGTAAAAACAACAAGACCACAGGCCAGTGAAAGAAGAGCTGACTGAATCACCCCACACCAAAAAGTTTTGGTTTTCAATGTTGAAATGGGCAACAGAGTACACAGCAGCCCTGAGGAAAACCCTTTTTTTTTTCTCTAATTACTTGTACACCTTTGTATCCCACATTATACTGTATCTTTCTTTGTTTGGTATCAATGTAGAAATTTCTTTTACATGAAATATCAGTTATTATTTGATATATTTCGGTGCAGGATGGAAACTTGTCAACACTATGATCTCTTCGTTGCAATGTTTTTCCAATATAGTGTTGATGATGGTTCAAGGGTCTCCATTAGTTTATGTAACTGGAAGTACTTAGATCCAACGGAAATTTTAATAGATATTGTTAATGAGGTCAGAGGTGTGCATTCAATGAGAGACTGTTTCCAAGAGACTTTCGGCACAAGTAACATAAATAGTATAAATTCACAGAAGACACATAAAGATGCAATGGAGGAAATACAAGCACAAAAACCAAGACAACTAATATAAATGAGAAAAGCATAGCTAGTAGAAAGGCCAAAGAAAAAAATGAGAAACTTTCAAATTACAAATGTCATAGTGGAGTTCAGAGTGTATGAAACCATGCAATTGAATGTTAGCAATAACTACCAGACCCTTTTGCAAAAGGACACATACTTTTTGATTGTATAACGTAAAACAATAATGTTTCACGCTAAGATGCGATGATTTGTGCAAACAACCAGAGAACTTCTAACTGTTGCAAACATTCAAAAAGCTTTATTTTCCAAAATAAAATACAAACTGGGTTTTTAATAATACATTGCTATTTTTCCTTAAAAAGACACTACAAAGTTGTGAACTGTTATATTATCTAAACTCATAAATCTTTTATGAGACTGTATTGCTATATTTTTGAAAACATAATTCCAAACTTTAAAATTTAAAAAAATATTAACTTATCATGAATAATCTCATCTTTCATTATATTGCACAAAATAAGTCTTTTAAAAAAAACTATTAGGTCACCATCACTTCCCTAAGGGCAACCAAAAACACATATACAAACAAAAAAGTGAAATTATTAAGCATAATATCAAAAGATAGGATTACTCATAGAAAAATGCATAGAGGTGAAGTTATTTCACATAATTTTCTCTTCTTAAAATCTATGAATAAAATCTTTTTTGAGAAAAAAATTGTGTTCATTTTTAAATTCATATGCTAATTATAGCCAAAGTCATATTTGTCTTGCACTAGAAGTTCAAAAGTAAATGCTTGCAATGTGCTCCATAAAATTAATTTCTTTATATATAAAAATAAAAAATCAACAATGCTACTTGCACACCACTTGATGTACAATAAAAGATTCCACCAGCACTTTGATAGCTTACACTAACACAACATATCAGTACGCTCGCAAAATCTTGTACTAGCATTTTGTGCCAATACCAACAAAGTGTTGGTGTAACTCCTTGGTGTATAACTTGGTGTACGCCATGTGGTGTACACCTTGTATGGTTGAAAAAAGTAGACATGCTAGGTGTACCCAAAAGAGTATACTCGAAAATGTACCCCAAAGATTTACACTTACATATACTAACACAAAGTATCAATGCAATTAAAAAATTTCGCAGTAACATTTTGTGTTAATGTAAGTTATCAATCTCACACTTATATTGGCACAAAATAAAAGTCTAAACCTTAGGGATACACTTTGGGGTAGAAGTAGATCTATTCAATAAAAAAAGTCATCCGATATTTTTACTTAGTAACAATACACAAGTTCATATCTCAACACCATTTTACCAAAGAGATACTCTAAACATGATATAGCAAAACGGATTACATTAAGCTGCAAAGATTTGGGAATGTAAAATCATCAGATTTCAAAATATTACAACCGGAAAAAAGCATCAAGAAGTAGCCTTAACCATCTCTTTCTCAATGGCTACAGGCACTGTTGGCTGAGGCTGCAAACCATAAATTCAAAATCAGCATTAAAATATACGTATGAAACTTAGGATGGGGTAGGAATGACTGGACTGGGTCATAAGTCATTTGGGCTGAACCACAATAAAATACTGAATTAAATCGATTACTAGTTGAACCCAAGAGCTTATAAACTCATTAGTTTCTTTATTTTCTGATGTGGGATACTCAAACGATTCTCGAACTTATGTCCAACTCCTAGTTAAGTGTAACAGAGCCAAAAAAGAAAGCGGAGAGTAATGGTAATAGTAGATGAAAAGGTATTAAATCCTTACCGCGGCCAATTCATCTTCATGCTTTGGAATGAACGCCGTATCAACTTTCCCATTTTTGAAATCCTGTTAAGAAGCATTCGAAAACAAATTCGGAATGAAGAATGCCACGCAACACCTATTTTAGATACCCTCTAGCCAACATATGTGCATATGCATGTGGGGTATGGAGCCATAATTATAATTATAACTATAATTATATGCGAGAGTTTAATTATCTAACCTCAACGTCAAGGATAAGTTTGTGATACTCAATTGTTGTTGGAACACCTGCAGCAATCAACACATTCTATGTTTAATAACCGTATGCTGAATCATTGGAGAGATGTAGACTCTATCTTATTGTACTCCGTATATAACTAAGTTTCTATCTATGTTTGGATCTTAGTGGCAAAAGGTTAAAACATCTAATATCTATGTTTGGATCTTGTGTGCAAAAGGTTAAAACATCTAATATCTATGTTTGGATCTTGTGTGCAAGGTGGAGATGAGAGGGAACGGTAGAGGATAGACAGTGTAAATAGGAGCGTGTGGGTGTTATTTGTTAGTGGATGGGTAGAGGACAAATTAGGTGTGGAAGGGCAATTATATTTTTGGCAATTATGTTGCCAAAAATAGTAATGAGAGAAAAAAATAGGACTCCCCAAAATGGATAGAGGGAAGAAGATTTCCAGATGGATAGAGCATAAGAATATTCCTGGTAGTAAATGTAGCTTTGCAACAAGAGTTTAAAAGAAACAGCCGCGTAAATCTCGACCACAATTTGCTTAATTGACAAAAAAAATGTGAAAGGGAAGGTCATAATATAATTTACGTCAATTTCAAATATAATTGAAGTCAAACCACAAAGCAGTTTCTTCAACAAAAAAAAAACCCCCAAGGCAGTGGAATATACTAGATTCTGTTCAGTGCCTTTGTGATGGCCATGAAAGTGAATTTGTTTATATAGAAATTATTTTGCACCACATGTTCTTTTCCAAAAATGGAATGAGAAAAGGTAAGTTATTTTGGGATGGATGAAAAAAGAAAATTGAGTATTAAATTATTAGGTGGCAGAGGGAGTTATATAAAGTACTAGTAGATCATAGAGTTTTAGTATACATCCGGACATTCACAATGTGGTTCCACTACCCTGCCCACCCCAATTATTGGTAAATAACTAGAAAAGTATTTTTCTTTCAATCTAACAAATGCATGAGAACATCAAATAATGCAGGTCTTACCTGTAATAAGAGTGTCATCAAGTGCTCTTTTCATGCGCGCAATAGCTCTCTCGCGTGTTGGAGCCCATACAATGAGCTGGAATTACAAGTTCTATGACTGCTTAATCCTTTTTTGATCTCATCATAGAATAAAGACAGTTGTACCATAAACATATTATGCACATTAGAGAAGAATAATCTTGAAATGTAGAACTACCCACTCAGGGTGTGTTTGTATGGGTCTTTATTACTTTATTAACAATTTTTAAGAATTATGCCTGGCATAGAGTAATAAATAAATGACTTGTACACATCAAACTTCTATTAGTTTATAATTTTATATCTGCTTATAGAATGATGTCTCATGTAGGAATGACTAGGGAATCAAACTTCAACTAGTTTATAATTTATATCAATTAATTTGAAGAATTATCTCGTTAAAGACATTTCCTTATAATAAATAAGTAATTTCTTCCCCTACAAAACCTAAAACATACCCCAATTCTATAAGAAATAACTAATTTGTCCCCCTAGTCCCCCTACAAAACCTAAAGCATCCCCCAACTCTATAGTACACAATTAAATTTTGGCAATTGGTTAAAGCAAAATCAAACTCTAACGCAATATATAATAAAAAGTGATTATTAATGTTATCCACATAGAAGGAACAGCACACCTTTCCAAGTAGAGAATCATAGCTTGGTGGTACCACATAATCAGGATAAATATGGCTATCCATGCGGACAAATGGACCTCCAGCTGGCAAGTATGCAGTTATTCTCCCTATGTAACAATAAAAGGGAATATTCAGATGAATCCATGAGCCTCACATCAAGCATCTATTAAAACTCCCTTCGCCTCAATGTGTTTGTCCACTCTTTGGCACAAGGACGAAGAGGATGAGAATAAAAAGGAAAGATGATTAAATATGAACAAAGTTTTCGGTGGGGCATTTGTTAAGTGGTTTTGAGATGTAGGCAAAAGAGATCATGTATTTATTACTTTACCACCAGTGGGAAGTGGACAAATACATTGATACGGTCCAAGAAGTAAAAGGGGACAAACACATTGGGACAATGAGAGTATATGAAAAATGTATGAGCCACACAGAGTAGAACCACATAAGACATCAATAAGTCATTGAAAAGGGATAGATAAACATAACTCAGACACACCTGGCCCAGGTCTGAAATTCTTGAAAGCGTCTTCTGCATTAATCCGGCATTCAATTGAATGTCCTCTAAGCACAATATCTTCCTGAATGCAGATAAATGAAAAAAAACAGATAATAAGAAAATAAAAAATTAACCAAGATCCACTATCTAAGATTCTATCTTCTTGTTAATTACCTGTTTCAAGCGAAGTTTTTCTCCCTGTGCTACACGAATCTGTTCTTCTATTAGATCAACAGATGATATCATTTCTGTAACCGGATGTTCTACCTATAATGTTCACCAAAGTGCATGTTTGTTAAGCATTTAACAATCCTTGAATAGCCCAAACCACACAGATGTACCGCACAAAATATATAAAAGTATGGCTGAGTTTCGAGATTCACCTGAATTCTAGTATTCATCTCCATAAAGTAAAAAGCACCTCTTTCGTCCAAAAGGAACTCGACCGTACCGACCCCGATGTAACCTATAGATGCTGCTGCTGCAACTGCTGCATCACCCATAGCCTTCCTTAGCTCAGGTGTTAGTGCAGGGGAAGGAGCTTCTTCCAGCAACTTTTGATTTCTTCTCTGGGGGTGGGAGAGAGGGGGTCATTACATATGAGTCAATTTTACAACCTTATCCATTAGAAGTTGATATGGATGAAAAGAATCCAATCATAGAGAACTATGATCTTTATACAGGGGTAATGGACATATCTCTACGTACTTCACCAAATTACATACATCAAAATAAACCTGGTATTCTCTTATGCAGATTATTTTCCTCTATAATTGGATTCTTTTAAAATATGCATCGTAAATAAGAATTAAAAAACAAGGAACATTGCATTACTCAATAGTTGAGGATATCAGGTGCAAAAGTGCACGTTTTTTTGTAGATGGTGTTTCCCCAATTTAGCATTCATATGATTAAATATGAAAATGTTGAAACAAACGTTGTGACGTTCTAGTTCATCTCAATATAAAACAAACAAAAAATTTAAATAAATGAGATAAACATTGGACAATTACGGCCCCTGCTGAAGTTGAAGAAATGCTTGGTTAAAGACTTAAAGTGTGTTATTATTTTAAGTTTATTATATATTTTTAGCCCAATTTTCAAAAAAAGGAAATCATGTGTTTAGTTTCAACATCCAATTTTGTAAATTTTCAATTATGAAATTTGATATTTGTAAATAAATAAAATCTGATCAGTAAATTCTGTCATACTGCTCTACCTAACTGCTCACTTGTGCAGAATGTATGATGTAAACAGGATATACATACGCTATGGAGTATGAGAGCCTAAGCAGAAAAGGTTTAATCCGTGAAAGAAACCCTAGAGAGACTTTAAAGTCAATATAATTAATCTTGCAGGTATATGTATTATTGATGAAGATAAACTCTTATAATACAACGGTCTTGATGAGTAAGATAAAATAGTTCCAATCCAGTACAATACTGCTATTAGCAAGATTAAGTACACACTAGAATAGCAATGCTAACATTAAACTAATACTAGTCTGTTTATGTGTAATGTGTATGCTCGGTAGCAGTTTATGGAGGTAGCCTAAGTGTTAACAATTTGAAAGAATTTAAAACTATAACTGCTACAAATATCAAAGCTGATAAATGAATTTGGAAACATTGGGAATTCAAATTACATTTGTGAATTCAAATAAAGTTTAGCCTAGAAATATACAAACAGCCTAATTGAATTGATACTAGTGCTACTATAATCCAATGACAGTTAAGGGGTATTGTATTTGGAGATCTACGATCATACCCCTCTGCCCCAAAAACGTTGTCCTAGTTTGACTCTTTTATGCTAACTTTGATCACAAAATAAATATAACTTTAAATAAATAAAACATATAAAAAATTGATGTATTAAAACTACATCTTAAAATGAATCCAATTCTATTAAATTTATATTATAATTGAATATACTTTTCTCACAATTTATGGTCAAAGTTAGCATATAAGCCATACTAGGACAACCTTTTTGAGGCGGAGGGAGCATAAAAGTGTACCAAGATGCAATATATTAAGGTGAAGTGTGCAACAGGCATGGTAATGATGATAGAGAGAACGAAATAAGTAACCAATGGATGTTCAAAAACAATTTAATTCTGAAACCAATGTTAGCATGAATACTTTTGTGTAATTAGTAATATACATTCTCCTTCCATCCCCCAAATAAAAAGAGTCAATTTGTTCAATGTGCCAGTTTTAAAATTTGCTCAAATTATTTGTTAGTTTAACTAAGTATATCATATTCACCTTGTTTGTAATATTTTTTCTACAAAATATTGACAAAATGTATAAAAAATTAGTTGTGTTAGATGAAATAGGACTCTCTTATAGATGAAATAGGGAAGAAAAAGGCTTTTGAAACATTAGTTTTGCCTAAAGATGTAAAGAGGGATAAAGGGTTTACCTGAATACTACAATCACGCTCACCAAAGTGTACTACATTGCCATGCTTGTCAGCCAATACCTGAATAGACAATCATCAAAGCATTGAATTAGAAAGTCATAGGATGCAAAGTCATCTTAAGAACATCGGCAGCAAGTTAACTTCTTCCATTTTTTGAGAGTTGTACTTTCCACTCCATTCTTAGTTTTCTAATATGGATAACAGTTTCATATCCTACAATGGCAGTGACAATGAGAAATATAAATGGAAAAGGTTGTTGGCAGTGCTGGTGTGTGGTTATGCTATGGGTGGCTGGCAGCAGTTGTCACTGGATGGTCGTGGGAGGTGGTGTTGATCACCATCAATGGTGGTTATAAATGGTTGTTGCAAACCTGCAATGGTCACCTATGGAGTCAACAATTGCATCATGGTGGTCAGCAGCAGTGGACAGGTTTGTTGATGGTGATGGTGGTTGCAAGTGGTTGACAAAGTATGCCTTTGTTGGGGGAATTTAATGGAAGTGAATGTGTGTTACCCATGCTATATGACTTTTTTTAAGTATTACAGAGTATACATTTCACCTATGAGACTTATAGCCTGTAAGGACTAAAGGAAAATGCATCAAAGCCAATTTAAGCATTTTGAAACCATGTTTGCTGACAACAGGGGGGATTCTCCAATGGCAACATTGGTTGCTAGTGGTCTTTATGACTGATTGATGGCAAAGTTTTGAATACTCTTGTGGCACAGAGAAACTTCAAAAGCTATGCTATTGGAAGAAACTCAGTTTCTATAACTCATCTTGCTTTTGCACATGATCTCTTAATTTTTCTTAATGGATTCACTACTAATTTGATGCAATTTCAAAAGTTTCTAAAGGCAGGTCAGGCAGCCACTGGTCAACTTATCAACTTTGGTAAAAGCAGGTTTGTGACTTCTGCTAAGCTTCCTACTCCTAGACTTAGCTCTGGAGAAACTGTTGGAGATGAGCTCTTCCAAACTTGCTATAAAATTTCTACGCTCTCAGTTATTCAAATGAATTAATGAGGCTAGATACTGCTCCCAATTATTAGCTGATTTTGATGGTAAGCTTAATGGTTGGTACACCATTCTAAAAAAAATGATTGGTACAAGAAACTTCTAGGTCACGCTGGGAGATTAGTTCTTACTAAACATGTTTTATCTTCCATCCCTCTACACTTATTGGCAGCATCAACATTGCCCGTGAGTGTATTGAGTTCTCTTAATAAGATGTTTGCCAGATTTCTGTAGGGTTCAACTCATATCTTAACCAAACACCGCTTGGTTTCTTAAATAAAGCATTGTTATCATACTGATTGGTGGCAAGGTGGTGACATAGTTGTTATAGATGATTGGTTGTAGCTTTGGAAATATTGAGAAGGCTTTTCCAATTTTTCAGAATGTTATCGATACATATATCCATTGTCTAAATTAGACAAGCTAGTACAGTAAACATGTTGAGTTCTTCATTCTCTTGTTTTTTCAATTTTCTAAAAACAGAATTGGAAAATTTTCCTAGTAAAGTCACATTATTACTAAGAAAGCTGTTGCAACTCCTCAGGAAAACATAATATTGTTATAAATAGTATAATTTAAAGAGTTTAAACATAGTATTTTGCTTGGAAACGTTGATAAGAGTAATAAGACAAGCAAGGGGAAAATGCAGAACACTTGTTCGTATATGCGACTACTTCAAAAAATGTTAGACAGATGTTATGCAAATATGCAGTTACAAAACAGTAAAACTTTTAATGAATTTGTTTATTAATATTAGCTGATGTATTAGGTTACTGGCCTAATACCAAATAGTTAAGATGGGCAAGTATATTATTTGTATATGTAATTATGTATGTATATATGTATGTGTGTGTGTGTGTATGTATGTGTGTGTGTGTGTGTGTATATGTATGTATGTATATGTATATGTATATGTATATGTATATGTATATGTATATGTATATGTATATGTATATATACATATATAAGTAAATGAGGGGATGCAATCCTTTAGAAATTATGTTCAAGTATATAGTACGGAGTAGTATTCAATTTCATCATATGGTTCTTAATTTTAATTTATGGCATTCTCAAACTATAACATACTCCATCTGTCCCACAAATAAAAACATCACGCTTTCCTTAGTGGGATGTCCCAAAAAAAGGTCACACTTCAATCTTTTCCTTTCAAGAAAATGAATATGTGGCTCGAACAACTTTACTGCAAGGAGGGGGTAATAAGCGGAACTATTCAGAATTTTATAGACAGACTTGGAACTTGTTTAAATAGAAAATGGTATGAAAATTAAAGATAACAAACTAACTACTACAGTATATAACTTAGACCAGTTGTGCTTACATGTGAGAACTAACAAGTTTTCTAGCAGCAGGTTATATAAATCCATAAAGGAGAATTCAATTTGTACACATCATAGAACTAAAATTTCAAGAGAATGTGAAGTTGTGAACAAATACCTGAAATTCAATATGCCTAGGATTTTGAACATACTTTTCTAAATAAACACCGTCATTTCCAAATGCAGCTGCAGCCTCACTTTTTGCTTGCTGCCAAAATAAAGCAGGTTCGTTTTCAGGACAAATTTAGTAGTCAGGGCCTTGGGATCTAGATTTCAGTGGCTATCTAATAAGTAATCAAAACAAAAGCATTCCTTGATGGTTGTGAATGACTGTAATACACATACATCACCGTAAATAATGTATTAGTAAAGTTGAACCCCTGCACAAAACAATTCAGTATGATCCCACAAAAGTAGGGTCTGGGGACTCATAGACCTTACCCCTACTTGATAGTAGAGAGGCTGTTTCCAAGAGACTGAAGTTGAACCCCTGATTTTTAAAAATATACAACATAAAGCAATGGTTCATTCTGAAAAGATAAGGACAGTGGTTAACTTCTACAGAGTAAGAGGATATACCTTAACAGATACTGTATAGTTCTAAAAATCTTTTTTTCAGGCAACTACAACTCAAGATACTCTGAGCAAGAAGATTTATACATGAAGTAAAAATATGAGAAATCCTAATGGATAGAGTAAATAAAGGCACCTGTAAGAGCTTCACAAACTCGTCAGGTTCTTTAGCAAGACGCATTCCACGTCCACCACCACCAGCAGTAGCCTTCAAAGCAGAAAGTATTATGAGCTACACGTGTGTGTGTGGGTGTGTCTGTGTTTGTGGTGTGTGAAATAGAAATTTCAGAACCATCCAAAATAAAATCAAGACGTGAAATGCTTCAGTGAGATATTCTAAAATGTGATTAGATGCATAAAGCCATAAACTATCTTCTAAATGATACAAATTAAAGATGTAGTCTGCTGAAGGACTTGTTTGGTTCAGTAAAACATCACCTTTAAGGGGAACCCATGTTAACATCAGTATGGGAGAGCTTTCAAAAATTAAGTTTTTAGTTTTTTCTTTTCTTGGACATAAAATAGATCATTTAAGTACAAGAAAAGCAGGTACTGTTTGTAAATGTTCATATAATTTTCTACTTAATTGCTTTTAAGTTTTTTCAAACAAAAGAAAAGAGTAAGTGCTTAATTTATGAGCAAAAGACATAACTTTCAATTAACAACAAAGTGGAAAATTGTGAGGCTAAACACTAAAAGTTGTTTAAAACAAGCAATAAGCAAAAGTTTAGTAACGTAACAACCTACTTTTGGCTTATGAGTTAAGCAGCTCCAGAAATAGTTTATTTAAGCAAAGTGTTAAGAAACCAAACACTATAACTGCAAAGCTACTTGCAAAAAAAATAAGCAAAAATTTAGGTGTTTAAAAACATACCCTATGTTATGTGTTGAGCAGGAACAGGTAATTTCAAATACAAAATTACCTTGATCATAACAGGATAACCAATCTCCTCTGCAAGCCTCACTGCTTCCTCAGTGCTCTGAAATGGTGACGATATATCATTATTTGATGAAATGCAAAGGGAGGGGGGAGCTAGACAGAAACCATGATATCAGTTTTATGTTAAGACTAGCATAGTAAAAAAGATGGTTTGAAAATAACCTTTAGCAATCCATCACTTCCTGGTACAGTTGGGACACCCGCATTTTTCATTGTATCTCTTGCAGTTGACTTATCACCCATGACTCTTATGCTATCTGGCTAAATATTTGAAACAAGAAATTTACCCAAAATCCAACAATTTTTCAAGGTTCAGAAAATACAATGGCATGGTGATTCTATAGTTTATGTTATCTTCACTAATATATAGGTGTGGGTATTACGAAAAATGGGCACTCTAAACATTTCTACGGTACACAACTAACTTACATTTGGCCCAATGAAGTTGATTCCATGTTCATTGCACATTTCAACAAAAAGAGCATTCTCAGCGAGAAAACCATAGCCTGGGTGCAGCATAGTGCATCCACGACTCACCGCAGCAGATAAGACATTGTGAATCAACAAGTATCTGTAAGATAGCAAATAGGGTTAGAAATGCTACTGCCTACAATTATTGCACATTTGTATTAGACTCAAAAGGTTGTCTTCTAGATTCATACGAATTTTATCAATGATGAATAAAAAATGTAAAATCAAACAATTGAGCATCATGCCTGTGCGATAGTACCTACTAAGCTCAGTGGCATTATTCTACCCCCCCCCCCCAAAAAAACTACATTCTGACATATGTATGACGTAGCAGATACATTTAGTGTAAAGCATTGGCTGTACAAGTAGTCGGGTCATTAAATATTTATTTTCTACATAATTGGTACACAAATGTAACTTGAATCCGCTGTGCTTGTTTTTCATTCTTTATTCTATCAAACAATTTTTTTCTGAGTATTAGAAAGTGTAGCTCTTTGGAAATAATTGATCTAGTTAGGAAAAATAAGGGATTTAAAAGTCAATGGTTTTGCATTTCATCATCTATAGTTGTAATGATAATTTGATAAACCGATAATTCCTTAAAAGTTAAACATATACAAGTAGAAAACATGGTTTTAGATTTTTGAAAAAAAGAGCAAATGAATAAAAATATCTGCAAAAGATATATTTCAGTAGGCTGTTTTTGTTAAGATTTTCTTTTCCAACCTATAGCTTGTGATTAAGAATCACCATTTTGTTTTCATAAATCATAATATTGTCTGCATAATAAAGGACCAAGTATTTGCAAATCTAGGGAGTGAAATTGTATTGTGTAACTGTGTTTGTCGGTGTTTGGATATTAATGTTAAAATGTTTCACAAAATAGAAACTCAGAAATCAAATATACATGCAATAGTGATAAAATTTATATGCCAACATTAAAAAAAATAAAAAAAATAAGACTAAGAAGAAGAATTATTGTAACAACAAATTGAAGTGGGATATCAGGAAATCGACATCTAAAGGGAGAACATATGCAAAAGTATATGGAAGCCATAGCATTACAAGCCAATAGCTTCAACTCTCAATGATCTAGAAATTAGATATAGTAAAAGTGTGTTATATTTTAGCTTCATTCTGCTTGACATAACTGGCATTACGTCATATCAAGGAAAAGAAGAATCTTTGCCAAGGATATTAATATTCCGATGTGGCGATTTCAGAATTATTACAAAATGAGGGAAAACATCTACGATTGGCATGCATAAAGAGGATCAAATAAGCAAACACAAGAAACAGAAAATTTAATGAGGTTATTAACTAACTTACGATTGATTGCTAGGTGCTTCACCAATGCAAATAGACTCATCGGCCATCTTCACATGAAGGGCATCTTTGTCTATAGTTGAGAAAACTGCAACACAAGGAATCCCCATCTCATGAGCGGTGCGAATGACACGAACTGCAATTTCCCCTCTGTTTGCCACCAAGATTTTATCACCCTGGCACACTGTACTTAGAGCTCTGCCATTTGTGCAAGCTTTGGGACTAATTCTAAATTGTAGAGCCTTCTGTTGGGGTAAGTTTACCCTCTTTCCTGCCCGAAATCTACACTGAGAGCTACCGATACTACATGTTCTCCCAACGAGTAAACCCTAACATAGGAGTAAAAGCATATACATGTTACGACAAGAAAACTACTCCTTCCATCCCCAATGTCACTGCCACTATTCTCAGGTTAAATTGTATCCTCTTCCTTTGCTTATTTTCACTTATCATTTGACAAAAAAAACATAGTTGTGTTGTAGATCTTTTGATGTAATTTTTAACTACATAAATTTTATGATTTATTTCTGCATGAACTTTAAAATAATTCGAATTGAAAAAAGTTTAAGTCAAGCTCCATTAATCATAAAGTGGCATCCTTAAGGAATGGCGGGACCGCGGGAGTATAGAATAATAACACTAGCAAAAGTCTATGCAAAGATAGCATGAAGTGAGTATGAAATGGCATGATAAATTTAAAACCCAACAATATTTTGATAAGCGAGCATGTCACAAAAAAGCTCGGATAATAAATTATCAATAGCAAAGCTCCAGATACATGGGTATGGTATTCAAAGTAAGCACATTGGAATGCTTCTAGTTGCAACAACATAGAGTAAATTTTTAATCATCTTGGGAGAAAGCATAAACTATAACAGGAAACAGAACAGCTTGAGCAGTGAACAAATTAGATAAACATTGATAAACAATGTTCCACATATCCAAAGCTAAATTCCCTAGCACAACCACAAATGGGATTTTCTGGAAAACTCCAATGAAACAATACAATAACCAAGATAAGTATTTACAAAGAGCTCGAATCATTAAGAATAAACAAAATGTAGAAATGGGTTTGTATTGGCGTAGTAAGCATACCGGACAAGACGACCCGGATGGGATAGATTTGGTACAAAAGCCCATTACAGCAGCAGATTCCATTTCTTCTAGTCTCTGCAAGATAACAATACAATCTGAACAGAAGAATTAAGCAATTATTTGCAGGGAAGGAAACAGGCATTGCTGTCAGAAACACGAGGAAGCGAATGAAAAGGAGAAAATGGATTTCGAACATGGAAATGGAGACTTGATTGGAGATTGAAGCGTGGATACCTGAACTATGCGCCGACTAGAGGGGATAGGAACAGGAAAAAAAGATGAGATTTGGAAGGAGCTGAAGGAAGAGGTCAGCTGTCGATGAATTCGAGGAGACGGAGAGTTGAATGCTCCGGCAAGACTGAGATAGCTCAGACGGCAGTGGCCTTTTTTTGTTGAGACTTGAGAGTGATATCAAAAAACTTTGCAAACATACCATGTGAAGTAAATTCCAAAATTAAATAGTCTAAAGTGTGAAATTAATAAAAATATTAGACTGAGATGAGATCAGTCCAAATTCGATTTAATTTGATCAAATCTAATTAAATCAATAAAAAATGATAAATTGATCATAATATTAAAAAAAAATAAAGAGTTAAATTCTTTGTAAATGGAAGTGAAACGTATTGAATTATATACATTTCTATAAAAAAAAATAAAGAGTAATTTTTTTTGGAACATTTACAAATGAAATACTAGTATTATGTTAGCACAATTTCTAAAATGAGTAACTACCATATCTGCATTTTTAACATGATTACTATGCGATATATAAATTTTATCATTTTGCTAAGTAGTATCCATATTTTTCAATAATTAGTTATTGTCAACAATTTATTTTTTCTACATCTTTATTATCTTACTCAATACTTTGTTTGTTTCATAAAACACATAAATCAATAATAATAATAATAATAATAATAATAACAACAACAACAACAAATAATAACAATAATATTATTATTGTTGTTGTTATTATTATTAAAGAATTACGGAGTATACTAGTTTTAACTTTTATTTGGATCAAATAAGAATCATAAGATCCATCAACTTACTAGATCGCATCTAATCAGATCTTACCATACCCAATATTCAAAACATCAAACCAGATTCAAACAGATCAGGCGAACGAAATAAGGCCTTACTTCATTCATTTTAAATTATGTTTATTTGATCTTTGGGCCCATACTTAATCTATTGTCAATACTTGATCCTTGTAATTACGTTATCATGTGCTTATAAATTTCTTTTGCATAGGGATCAACGATATTGCCTTCTTTTTTGTAGTGGCGTAGTCGAGTTATGAAAGATCATGACGAGGCGTAATGATATTATCTCGTTTCGTTAATAATTGAAGTTTTGTTATGATCGATATTGCTTGGATGAATTGATCTAGCCAAATAGACTAGAACACCAATCGAAAATGGAATGCTACAAAGTGAGCCGCATAAATCAAATGAGGGGATTATGTTCTAGGTGTGAACACTCATAATATAATCACACATTAGTTGGATCCACTTGATGTTGATGAACGACACATAAATCAAATGAGGGGATTATGTTCTAGGTGTGAACACTCATAATATTCTTATACTCGAATTTCTCTCACTCATCATAACAAGAATTAGACAACTATTCTTTTCAATCTAGTTTTTCATACTAATTACTCTTTATATTTGGTTTGTTAACATACTTACTTAAGGACCTTTGGACCATTTTAAAGGATTATTTGACTCATGTAGCAACGACGAGACCAGTCAACAGACTCAATTCCACTCCTTAAGGACCTTCGAAACATTTGAAAGGATGGCTATCGTAGTCGAGTTGTGATGGATCATGACCAGTCATAATGTATCTCGGTTTGTTAATAACTTAAGTTTTCTTATGATTGATATTGCTTGGATTAATATTGATCTAGCAAAAATTTAGGCTAGAGCACCAATTTAGGCTAGAGACCGATCAATAGGCTCAATTCCTTTTCTTAAGGACCTTTGAAACATTTAGAATGGTCGTCATAGTCGAGTTGTGAAGGATCATGATTGATCATAATGTATCTCGGTTTGTTAATGATTTAAGCTTTCTTTTGATCGATATTTCTTCGATGAATATTGATCTAGCAAAAATCTAGGCTAGAGCACCAATTGAAAGTGAAAGGCTACAGAATACACACGTGAAAAGCAAGCCACATGTGCCCGTGAATAAATAATCAGACATCAGTTAGATATACTTGATGGTGTTGAGCAACACATAAATCAAATATCATATGTGTACATTAACGTAAGAGCATTACTTTCTCTCAATATAAACTTATCTTTAATCCATCGAGGGGATGGGATTCTAGATACAAGCTCTCATAAAATATTCTCATACTCAAATTTCTTACTCGTCATAACAAGAATTAGATCTTATTATTTTCAATCTAGTTTTTCATACCATCTGTAGACCAAAAGGAGCATTTGTCAGTTTATTTCTTTTTGTAATGAGCTAAAGAGCACGATTATCAATAATCTTGTCAATCAACCATCAATGCACAGGTTCTCGAACATTTTGTAAATCCATGCAATTAATGCATTTTTTAACAAAAGGTGGACTATAACCGTGCCTAAAGTAGGCTTCGGCAATAACCCATGCGCATCTTTCGACCTCAGCCCATTTATTATGCCCGACCCATACTCGTGTACCTAGCCCAATTATTTTAGGTGGGAACACTGTTCTAAAATGCATCTCACCTTTGTATAGATAGAGATAGAGATATTTCTTCCGTCCTAGAAAAAAGACTTCTACCTATTATTCACAAGTCAAACTAAGAGGCTGTTTGGCAACTTCTGAATAGGTAAGTGCTGAACCAGTAAGAGGTCTGAACCATTAAGTGCTGAACCAGTAAGAGGTTTCAACCATTAAGAGCTAGTATATTGCTTAACTATTCAGAGACAAATGTTTGATTAATTCAGATAAGAGGTCTTAACCATTCAGACTCTGTATAATACTTAACCATTCAGAGGCAAATCTCTTAACCATTCAGACATCTGAATCATTAAGAGGCTGAAACAAACAGTCTGAACCATTAAGTGCTGAACCATTCAGACATTTGAACCATTAAGAGGCTGAAACAAACAGCTCCTAATTCTACTTTCTTTATACATTTTCATAGATTATTTGATAAAATAAAATAACTTTATCACAATTTTTTTGTAAAACTTTTGATGTACTTCCTTCATCCTACAAATTTCTTATAGTTTTTATTTTTAGAATATTTAAAAAAGAGCTATTTTTGTGTTGACTATTCCAAATTATCCTAAATGTATTGTGATAAATAGATTATTAGTGAATAAGTATGATCTGATAGGTAGATAAGAATTAGTAGGAGTAAAATATTTTTTTAATATAATGCATAAGAGAATTGTGAGACAAAATAAGAAAAAAAAGTTTGTGAGACAAAGACATAACTTTTTTGATATATAATTCTTATTTTTTAATTTTATACCAATTTTTAATTATACTGATTTGAAAATAACTTCAGCCAAATATTATAAAATGAACAAAAGCCTTATTTTAGGACAGAAGAACTAAATTTTAGCTGTGGTTCGGTAGCTTTTAATCAAGAGTGCTTCATTGGTGCACTTTGGGTGTATACCACTTTTATGGACCTTCTCATATAAAAAATCTTTTTTTATTTTTATTAAAAAACAAATACTTATTTAAGTTGTAAAAATTGCTTATTTTGCTCATATATAGGTCCATGGTGGACCTTAGACCCACCATATAATTTGCCTTTAATCAAATACTTCCTCCGGTTTTAAAATACTTTCTCTTCCATTTTTACTTACAAAATCCCAAATCTTTTTTAAAATGATTTTATTTACGTGTTAAAAATTGATATAGAAATAAAAAGTAAAACTTGCATATTTAAAAACTTTCAATAGTTGTAATCCTTAACCAGTGGTGATAAGAATTTTTTATTTTACCAAATAATCAATGAAAAAAATACAAATACACAAAACTCATCAAGATACCTTGAGCAATAAACATGAAATGTTTTTTAAAACGGAGGGAGTATATGTTTAACAAAATCGTTGCATTCAGTTGTTAAGATATCAAAGTCTCGCGGGCCTTGGAACACTTACAATGGGGCGGGCAAGAATCCGCCCCATTGTAAACGCTCTTAGCCCAATTTCGCATCGAAACCAAGACATGAAGGGGGGGGGGAAGAAGATGAAAAGCCCGAAAGTGGAGATGGAACATGTAGGCTAAAGACGAGCCAGCAGCTGACATGGTGCATTTTGTGGTCATCATCCCAAGTCACATTCATAACTTTCCATAGCCCCATGGGAGAGTCTTTAAATGAAATTACCTTCCAGCTTTCCTGAACAAAAAACAACTCCTTTGAATATCATTATATGTAGACAGAAAGCAATTTGCACCATATATTGTGGGAAAGATGAATAACCAATCTATATTCTCCAAATGGAAGGCATCAAGAAGGGAGTCTGATCTATAACTAGTTCTGGTTTGAATTTATCAAGATCTTATCTGATCTGATTTTTGATGTTTCTGATCTGATATGAGCTTGTGATTTTTCTAATTGGATCTGACTTTTTCAATAAGTAATGAGAATTAAGTTGAAGAGAACATGCCCTAATCATTTGGGTGGCAGAGTCTCAATGATCTCGGCTGAGGCTTTTGCTGCTGCAGATGCTGCATCGTCGAAGCCCAACTTCTGTAGCTGTTGCAGGAAACCATCCATGTCAGTGGGGCTGATTTTATACGGGCTGTATGCAGCACCGGGGAAAGAACCGTTTGTCACTTCTTCCTTGTATTTCAAAAGTGCTCTGTTGACTTCATCCCCGACATTGCCGAATTGTTTGCAGAACTTGGGAGTAACCTTCAACATGAGTACTTTTCATATCAGAGTTTACAGCTGAAGTTGTAGGAATAATGTAGGATCACAATAGAAAAAAATAATGGCTTGGTTCCCATGACATTGGGAATCAATGTCATGGGATGGCTCGAGGTCCCTACGATGCACCATTCAAAAAATTGACGGTTCTTACCCCCTAACTCCCCCGGCAACCCTCCCGGTCCAACCCCAACCCATGTCCCACCCGTTCAATTGCACCCCACCAAATTTAGTTGACTTTTGAGTCAAAAGTTGACTCAAAGTCAACTAAATTTGGTGGGTGTAATTGAAAGGAGTGGGGGTGGGTTCAGGTGAGGATGGGTTTGCCTGAGGTTAGGGGAAGGAACAGTCAATTTTTCGAACGGAGCCCCAAACGGGGTCCATGTCATAAGATGATAACATGGCAGGGGGGCTAATGTCAGCCAAACACCCTCCCCCCCCAAAAAAAAAAAAATTAATCATTTACACTATGTTTGCTTTATGGGATTTGAAACAATTGTTCTTCTTTGGAATTGGTTAGGGAGGAAAAGAAAAAAAAGTGAAATGAAAACGCAGATGTAATAAGAGTGAAAACAAAACTCGTCCCATTTTGGTGAGAAAAATGAGAGAAAACCATTTTCTTTTCCTTTCCTTCAAAATTATTTGAAACAAATATAGTGTTATGGAAAGACTGATTGTACGTACTGACCTTGGCGTGATGTGGATGTTGCATCATCCCAACTAAATCATGATAAACTAGAACCTGCATTGCAACTGAGGTTATGGGTGATACAATTTTACTTCCAAAACACATGATCCACTATACTCATGAATATGAATTCAGAAACAAAAAACAGACAAATTTAATAATATGGACATGTAAAATGCTTTTCTTAACAAAAAAAGTGGAGCCTTTTTTCAAGACCAATTGATAAGAAAATGTGAAACCTTTTTACGGAAAAAGAGAGAGTAGTTCAGGACTTCAGGTTACTTGAACATGCCCATGGGACACATGCAGTGTGAGGATCACTTTATTCCATTCTTAAAGAGCCAACAGTTTTAAGAGACCAATAGAATTTAAGATTTCGCTCATTTCTTCATACAGCCAAAGTTTACCCATTTTGGCCTAAATGTGTTTCAAAGATGTAAACATAAGGTGAAAGATGATGTACCATCAACCAAAGTTTACCAATTTGGTCTAAATGTGTTTCAAAGATGTAAGCGGAAGGTAGATGCATTTGTTTTTCTCCGTTGACAAGTTAAAAATTAGCTCAACGCATAAAATTAATGCATAAAAATTGGAGTATTCAGAAAACACTAGGAATGATACAACAACTGTAAACCTAGGGTATAACTTATAGAAATAATATAAATTTTATTATTTAAAAAAAGGTCGAAAAGATGAGGTGTCACCAACCTGACCGCTGCAGAAGGGTCCAGCGCCAATGCCTATGGTGGGAATCTTAAGAGCAGATGTTGTGGCCGCTGCCACTTGTGGTGGCACACATTCTAAGACAACGGCAAAGCACCCTGCTTCTTGGAAAGCCAATGCAGTTTCTAAAACCTGTGAAAAAAAATTAAATAATAATTATTTAAAAAAAAGAAAAGCATATGAAATGAGATCTGCGATGATTATTATTATATGCAAGCTAACATCAGAATTCATACCTTGACTGCACTAGAGACATTTCTACCTTGGGGCCTAAATCCTCCAAGAACACTTATCGCCTGAGGGGTAAGTCCAACATGCCCCATAACAGCAATTCCTGATTCAACAATGGCTTTAGCCGCTGTAATTCTGGATGGTGCGCCAGCTTCCAACTTGATAGCATCCATCGCTCCTTCCTTCAATACCCTCACCGCTGCATTAACAGCCTGTTCATGATTCCGCATTACTACATCAACCCATCAACTACCCTCTTCAAAAATAAAAGCTTGCAGTGATTTCATAGCACTATGTTTGGTTTCAAGGAACTTTGAAGGAAAAGACAAGCAAATGGTTTTCTCTCCTCTTAGTAATTTTGCCTTCTCATTTTCTTTTCCTTCCACTTTTCTTTTCTTTCCTTCTCCAACCAAACATGAAAAACTGTTTTCCCTCTCATTTTGTTTTCTTTGATCATGGTAGATCTATTCCCAATGCTAAGAGATTAGTGAAACACGAGAATTAATAAAATATTTGAAGAAAAAAAAACATACCGAAGACATTAGGTTCTAAAAAAATCACCTGAGTGGTGCTTGACTCGTAGCTACCGAAAGGGAGGTCACAAACAAGGAAAGGGCATTTAGCCCCTTTGGCAACAGCTCGACAATGCACAAGCATCTCGTCAAGGGTGATGGGCAGAGTGGTGTCATGGCCGTGAACCACCATGGCAGCAGAGTCGCCCACAAGACATATGTCAATCCCGGCCATGTCAAGATGCACCGCAGAAGGGTAGTCGTACGCAGTCACCATGGTTATGGGCTCTCCCTTCTGATGTTTCTGTCTCAGAGTGGCTAGTGTTGTTCTTTTGTTTGGGTCCTGCAGCTTGGGACCACCATACACCGTATTCTCGGGCATGTTGCTCATGCATCTTGGGAATGTTCTTGTGTGGCCGATCACAAAATTTCTTACGAGGCTTCGTGATATTAAATTAGTAAGAGATGCCATCTAATTTGAGTATATCTTTCACAATCCTATAAAAAAGGAAAATGAGTGAGGCAAATCGAGGAAAATCAACTCACTGGATTCTAAATGTGAAAACGTTGGGATACCAACGTATTGAAGATAATTATGTAGAACATATATATTTCATTTGAACATTTGGGTGAAAATCCAAAAGATTCAAATTTGTGTTTCTTAACATACTTTTTCAAATCCAAAAATAGCTTCGGAATGAACAACTACTTCTAATGGTTGGCTGCAAAATGGTGAAACCATTTTGCTCATGCATCTTGAGTGTAAGAGAGGCCATCTAATTTGAGTGTATCTTTCACAATCTATAAAAAAGGAGAACAAGTGAGGCGGATCCAGGAAAATCAACTCATTGGATCCCAAATGTGAAAAGGTTGGGATACCCACGTATTGAAGATGATTGTGTACAACATATATATTTCATTTGAACATTTGGGTGAAAATCCAAAAGATTCAAATTTTGTGTTTTTTAACATGCTTTTAAATAACATCAAAATGAACAACTACTTCTAATGGTTGGTTGGAAAATGGAGGCTCATTTGAATTCAAATTGAAATCACTCTCACTTGATTCGAGTTTCTAAAAACTTGTTTGTCTATTGAAATGTCATTGTATCCTAAAGTAGAATGAACCAATTATGCAGTGTATGAACAACTATTATTGTCCTCAAATAATTACGGAGTATAACTGAAGAAATACTCAAAGATAAAGCAACTAGCCACACGAAATTACAAATCCATGGAGAGAATTATTCATCACAATGGAAAAAATCAACTGCCAAGAAATCGAGAAGCAACTATGGAATTTAATCTAATATCAACCATCAACATAAACTCAAAATGAAACTTTTTAATCTTTTTGAATACCATACTGAACAACAAACTATCAAGAAATCAAGATCCAAATATAAAATCTCAAAAGAAAAAAATTCAAAATTTCAACTCAGGACTCACAAATGAAACTCATTTTACATCTTACGCTAAAAAAAATGCAGAGCAAATAAGAGAATCAAATATACAACAATTCAAAACATCAAATGCAAAATAACCAAACGCATAGCAAAATAAATCGAGTACTCCGTATTTCAGATTCAAAACCTTAATTATTTACCTCTTTGGATGATATTTAAAACGAATAGGAACTTAGGGTCGGAATGTGAGGGCGGACATCGGACGAAATGAGAAGGAAAAAAATAAGTGTGTCGCGGGATTCGAACGCGGGAGACTAGAAAGACTCAAAAAGCAAGTTTCATAAGGACCGACCGTTTCATATAATAAATCTAATAAAACTATTTAATTAAATAAAATAATATTTTGAAAATATTTCATGTGATAAATCAAATAAAACTAATTTGTATCAATATCTAAAATTATTTTTATTTAATTTGAGGTCAAAGTTTACCAATTTTGATCGAAAAAATAAAAAATGGACAAATACTTCAGGACGGAGGTTATTCATTTAAGATTTTAAAACATCATTAAAAATTCAACAAAAGTCTAGTGGTATTCAAAATAGATTTTTTTTCAACGAAAGCACATCATTCATTACCAAATTCATGAGTTTGATACAAGCTAACAACAATAAACAAGCAAACAAAATCTCAAGCTACTACCTCACTCTCTTATACATAAAATAGGAATCCATATAAGCGGTAACATACTCACAATAGTCATCCACCGTGAACTTTTTATTATGAATAATCCTATTTCTAACTCTCCAAATACTGTATGCATGCACACGCAGCCCATATAGCAATAAATTTCATTCTTGGCATTCTCCCTTTAACTTTCAGCATTACTGCCGCTATCTCTTCTATGTTAGTAGCTTGAAAAAGCAAGTTATACCTACCAAATACCAGCTGATAAACCCTCTGTGCAAAATGATAGCTCCAAAATAGATGTTTGGTAGTTTCAATCTCTTCCTCACATAAATCATATCTCATATCAATAGGCAATAATCTCACTAGTCTATCCTTAGTTTGTAATCATCTTCGCATGCAAAGCCATATCACAAAGCCATACCACCACCTGGAACTTTAGAGGAGCGAGTTCCTAAAGCCAATCATATCCATCTTTCACGCAACACTCTTTATTAATAGGCATTGACCTAAAAACGCTTTAATTCTGATCATATCTTTCTAGGAGTCCTTACTTGGAATACAGTTCCAAAAAATCAGCCCCTTTAATGTGCATATCGTGGTTCCACTTAACCCATGGTACATAATTTTTACTAGCAATATCCTAATTCAGCTTCATAATGGTGGTCATATTCCAATTATATACTCCCTCTGTCCAAAATTAATGGTCCCGCTTCGACCGGGCACGGAGTTTAATAAAAGTTGAAATTTACATTGACTTTCCCAAAATACCACCACTTTACCACTACCCCACCATTCCTATCCTGCGTTTTCCTGCCCAAATTACCGCCGCAGAACCGGCCAGAAAAAAAGATTTGCAATCCAAAACTTTGAAATTTCCGGCCAAAGAGAAATTTCTCCCAACCTAATATTTTAGAATCATCATGGGCATCCTTTCAAGCCAAATCGAGCTATTCCCGCACCAAGATGGAAGAATAGAAGAAGATGAAAAACATTTGAAGAAGGTGAAGAAGATTCTTCATCACCGATGTTCTCCTTACAGATCTGAATCGGATTTCTAAGATCTGACAAAGATATGAGCGATCGAATTGGAAAGAAGAAAAAAAAGAAGAAGAGATGAAGATGGAGGGCGGCTGGACCAAATCAGAAGAGTGGGAGGGGGAGAAGAAAAGAAAGACGACGAAAAAATGAAAGAAAAAATAAGTCGTTAGAACAAATCGGAGGGAGGAGGAGAAAAGAGAGGAAGAAGAAAAGAAGAACAAGAAAAAAAGAGAAGAAAAAACAGAGAAGAAGAAAAGGAAAAGAAAGAAAGAGAAATGGGGAGGGTGCGGCAGGAAGGAGATAAGGAAACAAATATGATGTGGAGGGTAGTTTAGACATTTTGATAAAGAAAAATTACTAAAAAAGGAAATGGGAACATTATTTTTGGACGAACCAAAAAGGAAAGTGGGGACTTTAATTTTAGACGGACCAAAATTTGTTAAGTGAGGGTTCTAGATGAGTTTAAGCCCTATACAAGATTAAGCATCAACTACAACAAATCTCATATAGTGTGTTGGGGGTGTAAGTGAACAGAAGACGGAAGAATTACTCCAGATAACTAAAATGAAAATCTGGGAAGCTGAATTATAAAAAAAATTATACCCTTTAGAACAGTGTAATTTTTTATACACTTTATTCATGTTGCATTTTCAAAATACTATTTTATTTAATTAATTAGTTTTATTAGATTTATTTTGCTATGCGTTTGGAGAGGATTTCAACAAAAATGTCCATATTTCAAAACCCTAATTACTTACCTCTTTGAATCTGAAATACTCGATTTATTTTGCTATGCGTTTGGTTATTTTGTATTTGATGTTTTGAATTACTGTATATTTGATTCTCTTATTTGCTCTGCATTTATTTTTTTTAGTGTAAGATGTAAAATGAGTCTTTCATTTGTGAGTCCTGACAAGGTTTTAAAAGGCGAAAACTAGCCTCGAGGCGGTAGAGGAAAATGCCTCAAGGCGTAAGCCTCGAGGCGAAACAAGGCGTAAGCCTCAGATCAACTTGATAAAAAATAACAAACAAAACAACTTTTAGGTAAACAAAATGCATAATCCATAATTATGTCAAATAAGTCATTAAGTAATACATAAGTTTTCATTTAAAGCAAAAAAGGGGGGCAAAATAAATACGCAATAAGATAATCATGATTCAAGATAACCAAAACACTAAAAAAGTTGATGTAAAAACAAACTATATGTAAAAGATCAAATTTAAAGTAATTATAAATTATAATATAAACAATTTAACAATGAAAAATCTTAAAATTTAATAGTGAAAAATCTTAAAATTGGCTAACTTAAAATTATTCAAGTTGCTGGAATTTTGGAAAATAAAATTACCAGAGTAAAAAAAAGTTAAAACAAATCTTCAAGAAATCATAAATTCGTACCTTAAGAGAGAAACGAGAATAGGAAGCCAAATTGCACAGGGAAAGCCGCGACCAGAGAGAAACGACCGGAAGCCAGAGCGAAAGAGAGAGACGGCGAAAGAGAGAGAATCGAAAGCTGGACAGCCACGCAGGTGTGCGATTGGAAAATTGGAACTTAAAGAGTTTTTATTTGAAGGCCCAATAACTTTAATTCAAAAGGGCAGAATATGGCTTATACGGACTATATTTCAAGGCGAACACCTTGTTTCCGCCTCAGCGCCTTACCGCCTCGAACCGCCTCAATAAATCAAGGCGTACGCCTCGCTGAAATCATCTGGTGCGAACGCCTCTCGGGCAAAAAACTACCGCCTCAACGCCTTACCGCCTCAGGGCGGACCGCCTTTTTCGCCTTTTAAAACCATGAGTCCTGAGTTGGAATTTTGAATTTTTTTNAATTCAAAAGGGCAGAATATGGCTTATACGGACTATATTTCAAGGCGAACACCTTGTTTCCGCCTCAGCGCCTTACCGCCTCGAACCGCCTCAATAAATCAAGGCGTACGCCTCGCTGAAATCATCTGGTGCGAACGCCTCTCGGGCAAAAAACTACCGCCTCAACGCCTTACCGCCTCAGGGCGGACCGCCTTTTTCGCCTTTTAAAACCATGAGTCCTGAGTTGGAATTTTGAATTTTTTTCTTTTGAGATTTTATATTTGGATCTTGATTTCTTGATAGTTTGTTGTTCAGTATGGTATTCAAAAAGATTCAAAAGTTTCATTTTGAGTTTATGTTGATGGTTGATATTAGATTAAATTCCATAGTTGCTTCTCGATTTCTTGGCAGTTGATTTTTCTCTATGGATTTGTAATTTCGTGTGGCTAGTTGCTTTATCTTTGAGTATTTCTTCAGTTATACTCCGTAATTATTTGAGGACAATAATAGTTGTTCATACACTGCATAATTGGTTCATTCTACTTTAGGATACAATGACATTTCAATAGACAAGCAAGTTTTTATGTAGGGGTGTTAGTTCACATGCAACGACAGGAAAAAAATTACTGGTAAAATATGAATTTTTAACCAAGAAAAAGAAAAGGGGGCCACTTGCACACAATTGTGAAGTAAAAAAGCAAAATTTACCACTGATTCTTCATTACCTGTAGTAAAGACTCAAAGATCTATATCCAGAACTCCAAGAAGTTGGAGGCAGTTAATCTGCTTAGCAAAAGATGTAATCTTTTGGTGCTATTTGAAGAAAACAACACCAAAAGTGTGATTTCGTTTAATCACTTTAAAGAAAGTAAATCAAAATGCATCTGAACAGACCAAATGACATATCAAGAACAGATGCAACTTGCAAAGCCATGTGTGAGTCAGTCTATCAAGGTGTGTCTGCAGAAGAAAATAACATAACAACACAAAAAAAAACTTAAAATTTGAAAAAAAACCATAAACATATTACTCCCCAAATATGCCCCAAGATGTCAAAAGTTACTATGTCAAAAAAATCCCAACAAAACCAAAGATGTTAAAAGTTACTGCGCTTCCCCTTGTTTAACAAATAAAACAAACCAAGTGCAAACTGATTGGGAAAACAAAATCCAAGAAAAAACTCTCCACTTTGGATGCTCTGGGTCGAAAATAAATAAATTCAGTGAAAGGAGAAGCATTCAGAAATTAGGGTTTGAAATTCATAAAGAAATTCAGTAAAAAAAATCCAAAATCATGTTAGAATTTACCTTAATTTGAACAAATTACTGATAATTGAAGAGAAAAACAAGTTGTAAAACGATAGAGAAGGCCTTACCTTGAAGATGAAGGGAAGAAGATGGAGAAGATGAAAAGAACGACTTCCTACGTAAAAAGCGAATAGGAGTAGGCAAAATGCTAGGGGTTTTGATAGGATTTGGAATTGGGTTTGTATTTATGTTTAAGACATTAGAATCCATCAAAATCTATTTTTAAAAGTTTTTTGAAAATCTTTTAATTTTTGAATACCATCATATTTAGAAAGATTTTTTAAATTTTGAATTGAATACACACAAATTTTAAATAATTTTTTAAATTCCGAATTGAATACCTACGGATTTTCAAAATCTAAAAAAAATCTATCAGAATCCTGATTGAATATATCCCCTAAGAGTTTCATTTTGAATTTATGTGTGTGTGTCTATCTATATATATATAGTGTAGACACATAAAACATAACCCAACTAATGAATTGCTCTAGGAATTTAAGACTATGCAGAATACCTCATATGGCTTCCCAACTTATAGAATTATTTGCCTTTTAGATATCAAGCCTATCATGCATTTAGGTGATACTCATTTTCTCTTATATCCTTTAGCAATCTCATGACACATAAGTACATTGTGAATAAGTTCCTCCCTTGAACAAAAGCCCCTTGGTTCAAATCAATTATGTGGGTTAGCACCTCCTTCAATCTTTTAAAATTGAACAAAACTAGAGTATTCAAAATAATATTAAAAACCATGGATTTGATAGAATCATTAACATATCAAGATATTTTGCTCATTCATTTAAGTACTTTTTATCGATGATATCATATAAATATACTCCATCCAAGTAATTTTATTTTTTTAATATGCAGATCAAGGGTCAATATGAGAGATGTCATTCAGTTTCTACAACTTTAGGTGGAATTACATTCGAGATAGATGTGACAAGATGAAATGAAAAGATGAAGCTTAGATTTAAGCGTTTAGGATACTTTAACAATTTTGTCATGTTTAGTATTCCCTTCGTCCCCCATAGATCTTCCCAATAGCCCTTCTTCTTTGTCCACAATAGATCTTCTCATTTCATTTTTTAACAATTAAAATACCACAACTACCCCACTTATTTTATTTATTACACCACACCCACCTCATTTAATACACTCCATCCATTTTTCATTAAGGGTATTATGGTAAACTTTCACCTTTTTTCAACTCACCGGAGTCAATCCATATATATATATAGGTTTTGGTTCTGGTGAGAATAAGATCTTATGAAAGAAATAAGAATGAATCGGGACCTTTGGATGGAGCAACTCAGCCCTGCTATATTCGACAATTAATATGGACATTTTTGTATTTTCCATAGACTTTCCGTTTCTATATCCTCTCTTCATGCGTTGATCTCCTCAAAATTAGCTATGCATTGATTATCTCTCTCTCTCTCTCTCCCTCCCTCGATCAATTATGCCAGGGAATCGTTTTGTTACGCCGGAGGTGAAGGAAAGCCCTTTGCCATGAATTGATCTAGCCTAACTGCTGAACAGAGAGATTTCGTACATTTCTAGGGTTCGTACATCAAATCTTGGAGGGATACAAGTTTCAATTCGGGTATATGTTGAATCATTCTTGGATAGATCACAATTACAATAAGATTCACAATTTTTTTTGTTTTTTAAAAATTGAATAATTTAGCATCAAATCTCTGTTTTATTTGTGAATATATATTTTTGTGTTCATAAATTTTTAACTGTTTGTAATTTTATGAATTTCGAATCTATTTTTCTACTCTTTGAATCCATAACTTTGTAATTCCATGCATTGCTGGTTTTATTTCTGTTTTATGTGTGTACATTTTAGATTATGTATTTTTTTCTATTCCTATTTGTTGTGTTATGTATTTCAATGAATTTTGTATTAAATTTTTTCCATATCTCTCAAGTTTTTTGTGTTGCTTCTATTTTAAAATTCCCATAAATTGTGATTTCCAGGGATTGCATTAGGTATTTGGGTTATGCTTCTTTTTTTCTCATGGCAGATGCATATATTCTGAAATATTTCTTTTTCAGATTGTAAATGCTAATGCAAGGTCCATTTTTTATTAATTCCCCACCACATTCTAATGCAATCACTAACAGCATACAACATGCTCGAATCTACTGCTATTTTCAATTCATATTTATTTATAAGATCTTCAAATAAATTTGATTTGTGTTTTATGTTTAATAGGGAGTACTCCAATTTCTTGTATATTTTTCATGTTGTTCTTTTGCATGAAATTTCGGTGATAAATCATGTTGGCTTTATATTCTTTTGTATGCATCATACTCTAGCGTTTGATGCATGCATTCTTTGTTCTCTGTTTTGCATATACCACCACACTATAATTTATTCTGCATATTCATTGGACCTTTTAAAAATTATGTAGTTCACATTGTTACTTTTATTTTATTTCTTTTTAACTTTTTATTTGGTTTTACTTGTTATATAGCTAGAAATTATTGGCCTTGACAATATTATTGGACAACTTGGTCTTCAATAGGGCATACATTGTTGCTTATATTTGTTTCTTCCTTTTTACTTTTTGTTTATTTTTTTATTTTGTATTACTTAGAATTAAGGTAATGCATTTATATGAGAAAATAATACATTCTCAGAATTAAGATAAAGCATATCGCATTCTATTGTTGTGCATTCTCGACCAGAGTCAAAGTTGATGCATCTGATGGTGGAATTCTCTTGACACAAACATAATGCATTTGTATGTTGTGAAAAGTGAATTTTCTGCAAACAATGATATATTTAAAATGCTCTATGATATATTTAAATATGACTTGGAAATACTTTGAATATATGATGCTAATTTCAAAACAAAAAAGGGTATTTAATAGGTCCTAGTGCAACTTTGAATCTTCTTTTTTTAAAAAATATTGCCTATTAGCTCAAACGGTAGAGTAGTATGTACTACAGATGTGGGTTCGAATCTTGCATAGGCAAACAATTTTTACAATTTATATTAAACTAGTTCCGAATACAATGCATTCTCAAACTTTTTTATCACATACAAAGTAACTTAGAAGTCATTATTGACTGATCTACAATTCAATAGAATAAATTAAAGTTAAAACTAAAGTTAAAGAACAAATCATAATGTATATATAGACTTTCATAGTGCATTACCTATCACAATGCATCTGCATATTTTATAGGTAAATATTGCATTCTTTAGATTACACGCTACATTAATATAATAAAATCAAGATATAACCACATTTTTAATTTAATCATCACAAACAATTAAATAAATTAAAACCACATACTGTCTCATATCTCATCTCATGAGTCATTGACAATTATTTTGGAAATAAAAAGTATGGATATAATGCATGATAAAGTCATTGACTGCATAAATGATCGCTTCACAAACATATATGCATTGTGCCACCATACTTATGCACCACAACATAGTCAGGATACTTTTTCAACAAAACAATGGGCAAAGAAATTAATTGAGTAGAATAAATATCTAATTAATAAGGCAAAATTTGAAACCATTTAGAAAACAATAGCAATTAATGCATTTCTAAACTTTGGGGTATTATATTTGTTAAGACACGTGTGTTACTAAATGGTGAATAAACGAAGAAATCATTGCAATATAACATTACACAATTGCCCCTCTAAAAATTAATTACCTTTTCTACGTTATAATAATTATTACCTACCATAATTATTAGGAGTTATTATTTTTTTGAAGGAACTAATCATGACCGCTGGATGCAATGGATCTAAGGAGTTATATATATATATATATATATATATATATATATATATATATATATATATATATATATATATATATATATATATATATATATATATATATATATATATATATATATGAGCTTTAATATTGAAAAAAACTTCCAATAAAGAGAAACATGTTTGTTTGATTATTTATTTTATGAAACACTAAANTACCATAATTATTAGGAGTTATTATTTTTTTGAAGGAACTAATCATGACCGCTGGATGCAATGGATCTAAGGAGTTATATATATATATATATATATATATATATATATATATATATATATATATATATATATATATATATATATATATATATATATATATATATATATATATATATATATATGAGCTTTAATATTGAAAAAAACTTCCAATAAAGAGAAACATGTTTGTTTGATTATTTATTTTATGAAACACTAAATTAGTTTAAACAAAAAAAACATTTATTATACGGATATTTGGGAATTTACTTCAAAGTGTTTACTTTGATTTTTGGTCATATTAAAAATCGATTTATTTTGAATTAAAAATCAGTTTATTTTAATCAATTTATTTTTGAATTAAAAATTTGTTTATTTTAATCGAATTATTTTTAATTCATTAAAAATTGTTGGCCTAAGACTCCTACCCATATGTGACTGTCCAAGAAAGACCCGGTCCTGGTATGAATTTGAACTCTATTTGTATTTGTGGTGAAATATATTTTGGGTTAGTTTTGGGTGTGGTGTGGGGAATTCAGTCACTGATTCATTTGAGAATTGATGGTGGGATTTCATTAATCAAACGC